GAGAGAGAGAGAAAGAGAGAGAGAGAAAGAGAGAGAGAGAAAGAGAGAGAGAGAAAGAGAGAGTGAGAGAAAGAGAAAGAGAGAGAAAAAGAGGGGGAATCTCCAACACAAGGTACACATACAATCACTGGTTTTTAATATGCAGAAAGATGCCAAATATAATCATTTCAGAGTGGCCACTCTTTTCGTGACACAAATGTATCTGTCTTTAAAAAAAAAAAATGCACATATGAAATTTGTTGCATTTCACACTATTTAAAGAAAAGAATTAAAGCAAGCTTGAAACCAATTTGTCAGCTCTCTGATATCACTGTGATAATGTACAAATTAAAACACTCAACAAAGAGAAATTGAGCAAAAAATTATGCAGAACTAATGTTTTTAAGGAATAGCATCTAGTTTTATAATCATCTCAACATTATCCCTGACTTCTCATAATCCTTCCCAAATTCCCAGGTTTTCCCTGGATTGTTCCAGGGCAATGAAATTTCAATTTTTTCCAGTCATCCAAAAATGTACCACCCTACATTTCCAGCCTTTTCTAGATGGTTTTACGACCAATTACATTGACGTCTATTTTGGGACACATTTCAATTTAAAAATAAGAACTTCAGTCAAATAGACTGTGTGGTGCTAAGAAGGGATGAAAGAGTTGAGAGAGATGCCTCACATTTGATATTTAATTTTAAAATTGCCATTTGAAAATACAATTGATATTTTTTAACATAAATTCATGAGGGTACTTTTGCCCTAATACCAAAAATATGCCATGAATTCTATATATACCAAATTATTTGAATAATTTCAGTACTTGCATCCAAGTTTCAAGATATATCCTGATTTCTATCTTTCCAAGTCAATCATGTTAACTAGAAAGAAAAAAAATATAAAATCATGGTTTTGGTAAAACCAACCAAAACACGAGAAATTGTCGATAGACACATCTCAAAACGGTTTCTCAAATATTAATACAAGTGACATTTTAAAAGTATTTCTGCAATTGATTGAGTAGCATCCAGATTTCATGTAGAGGTTTTGAGGAAACGAAAGTAACTGGAGTTCTGCCTTCCTTTCTTAACGAGGACTTTTTTTGCCTGAATTAACAGAAATGTCTGGAGCAAATTTTCTGACCAATTATTTGTGAAATTTTCACATCAATGACAAGCTTCAACAGATCAGACAATTGCCGAGACTTGAAAAAGGTTTGAAAACTTGCATATAAAATTTTGTGAAAGAAAACAACAAGGTTTATCAAACTTTTAGTGATAATTTTACGAACGTCTTATCCCAAAAACTTTTCAATTGGAGGAACACAAATTTAATAAGTAGAATAGAGAAATAATGCAGTTCAAATACAACCTAAAAAGATAACACTGGGAAAAGCAGTTCAACCCCAATTTTACAATTTCCCAAAGTTAACACGAATTTTCCCAGTCCCTTCCATTTTCCAGTTTCTACTGATAAGCTATCCCCGCTTTTACACTTTCGAAATCAATTTCCCCCCGCATTTTGCACTATTTGAAGTCATCATGGATCTATGAATGCTAGTTTTTTAAAAGATATTTCGCCTTTCTCTGTAAGTGTTCTATTGTGTGTCTAGATTTACACTATTGACTACTCTGATTGATCAGGGAACATAAATTTCAAGAAAATCGGCTGATTGGTCTAGGTGCCAGCTTTGACACAGGATGTCAGACAGACTTTGCAGCCGATTGATTTTTTGGTATCAAGGAGCCACAAAACATCGATTCTGGATACACCAGGATGTATCCACTTTCTCAAAACCACGGCCTGACAAAAAAAATTCTGCCAAAAATTCGCTGATTTTTGGCAAACAATTACCCAAGTTTCTCTTTTTATTGGTAGCACAAGAAAGTAAAAATGCTAGAATCCTTGACTTTAAAAGTGGAAAATGTTTACTAAAAGTAGATTGTAAATTTTCAGTATTTTATTTTACATGTAATACAACTTTCCCTTCGTTTACAGTTTTTTCTTGGTCTCCTGGTTGAAAAGTGTAAAAGATGGGGTTCTACTGTGTTGTGTTATGTTTTGTGTGAGAGTTGGGGGGTGTAATTTTTGAGTTAAGCCTTCGGCCCAAAGTGGCCTAGACCTTAAACTAATAAAAACTGATACGAGGCCAAAATGCAACAGTGCAGAGCAGGGGTGCTCTGAAGGCGAACAGCTGAGGGCAATTTACCCCAAGGTCCAAATTCATTAGTGCCCCAAAATTTTATTAAATTCAAAACAAAAAATAAACTTACTTCTAAATTAAGTTAACCACTATAAGTCATTTCTGTTGAAGAGAGAAACAAATTCAATCATATATTGGGAAGGGGGGAATTCTGTTCAAAAGAGCATCCCCCTCTTGATCTACTGCCCCAGGCCTTGTTTTCTCATGGCAACACTGGAGGAGAGTAGCGTATATATCATGGATTTTTTTTAGGATCTTTGACAATTTGCGAATTCTCTTTTGCCACTTTCTCAAAATTATTTTCCTATAGTAGATACTTACATCTCTTATGTTACCATCACCAAGGCCCTTTATTTGCAGAGATTCTGCAGCTTCGAGGAAGTCTCCTAGTCGTTCTTCTGATATTTTAACTTCACCACGGTATATATAATCAATCATGGCTTTCAGTTCTTGGAACTTGACATCCTTTAGTATAATAATAGGATGTTTTTCATTCTGCTGACTTAATAACAACTGTTGAAAATAGACACAAAAATAGTATGTGTGTGAAATGCACAATAACAGTGAACTATACACTACTAAAACTATGAAACCAAAGGTACAGTGGATGTAAACTATTACAAAAACCAAATAGCAGGTAATCATAAATTATCGAACAAAAATTACACATTCCATTTGTTTGGAGAAAATTACACAAAATATCATATGATTTCCTCTCTTCCACAATTTGATTGAATATAAACTTACTTGAAAGTAAGGGCTGCAGGCAGAGAGAACAACTTTGTGGGCTTTCAAAAACTGTCCTTCAGCAGCAATAGTACAATCGACAAGTGTCCCACTTTCTAGAAGATTCTCAAAAATTGCAACCAATGTACTGTGATGGTCATTCCAGCAGAGAGAGAAATGCTGTTCTGAATGCATTTTGGAAAATATCTAAAACAAAACAAGTTTTACAACTGTTATTCATTCAAACACATCTAATAGAATAACCAGAAACATTGCACATGAATATTGTTCATATGAAGTATGAACAATTCACTATACTTTTTCTTTCTCCCTACAATATTGTAGCTTAGATCGAAATTACATTACTAGAAATATTGTTCCAATAATAAGCTTCACTATTTCAAATTAATTCTAGTAAGTGAAATGAAATAAGGTACTTTAAAAATATAAGATTCTTATAATACATTTTAAGATAGGAATGCAGCTTTATATCTTTTTAAATAGTTATTCAGAAGCCTTTTTAAAATTTTGTAGCACAAAGTTGAACACAAAAACTATCTCAAAACAATCTACAACAGTTTAAATATTATTTCCAATTAAGCTGTTCTATACCATAAAAATGGGAAATGCCTTAGCAACAAGATTAAAACATTTATTCATCTACACTCTACAATAGATACAATTACTATACTAAATCCATTTTGACATTGTACTTAAATACAGGCTTTCAAAGATATTATTAAATGTTTCGCCGATTAATAAGTTAGCTTTGACTTGTATAAGCAGTAAAAAGGAACACTTCCGGTAAATTTACTCACAAAGCAAAGCCTATTAAAATCTAATAAGACACCCTAGTTTACTAAATTGCGAAAAATAATGTCCACATATGCCTATACACAACTCGGCGGTTGGGACAAGTTACGCCCCTCAGAGTGCAAGGGAAATTATTTTCATTCATTTTTCAAGTTCTGTTAATGTTTGAACTATTCTTGAAATGTTACAACATACAATGTTTTAATATCATGAAACTCGTTTCGCAGCTGGGGCGCTAGCAAGACAATCACAAAGCATAACCTACTTTTGCACAAAATGAAGGCAACGGATCTTCCTTACCTTTTTCCACTTCCAACAAGCACTCCACCTTACTCGCTTCCGAATACACTTGAGGAAAGCAACTTATCTTTCTTCTGTGCCTCGGAAATACGAAAAATGTCCATATAACCTAGCGAAGCCACTGCGGCACACTGCATCAACAGACACAAATTCTACGCGAACACGAGGAAATTGTTGAAATTGCGAAATGCGATTCTTCGTTCACTAAAATGTACGCCAGCAGTGATGCTAGCAAGTCAACACAAAAAAATACAATATTATCTCATAATTTCTCAAGCAGTCCAGATTATCGTAAACCCAACGAACACACAAAACCACACATCCACCCTTATAAATTCGAGTGATTCGTGTTTACATCCAGAGGTCGCTTAATGCAACGGCAACAATCGATATAGTAATGGGCGCCTGAGCAGCTTCGCTACTGATGCCAACTGCAGCGGAGCAAGCTGCATCTCCTCACAGCAGGTTTGCCACGTTTTTGCGAGTACAGCAAAGATGTTAGAGTGCTTGGCGGGACATTTTTTCTATATAATATGTAATGAGTAAAATATTCAAATAAAAAACGCTTACAAGTTTTATATAAGTCTCCTCGTTATATTACTGTTTGAATATTAATGCTGCAAAAACGTTTTGTAAGGTTGGCAGTACGCAGGAAGGGGCGCGTCAGCTGTCATGAGTTCCTTGTTGATTGCCCACCTGCCCTGAACGAATAAAAATATACGCCAATCCACGAGTTGTCGTTTACAATGGTTGACGAGTGTTATTGCTGACTGCCTTATGTGTTTTATTTATTTTTACTCTTTTTACCGTCTCTGGCACTAATGACCAACTTTCAATACCGTTCTACTGCAATCGCCCATTGTGGTCGAAGGATGCTACAAGTAAAACTGGGCCGGCATTTATCCACAACCAAAATACAATTACCCAGGGTCCAACCTCCGTAGGGGTCCCGCATCCCGGAAAAAATTATAAAGAATGTGAAAATATGTTAGAATCATTACAGTAATTGTTAATCAAAGAGCCTGCTGTATAAAACATGCAGTGCTAGACAAGACGTGAAAAATATTTAAATAGATAATGAATTATAGGTTTAATTATACAATCAATTTGTTTATTTTCATTTGTTAATCTATAATAAGTGTTGCTTTCAGTAAAGCTGGAGGGTTTTTTTTCCGGAGGGGCTCATAACACGATTTGTCGGGAGGGGGTGGGGGGCACGCAGAACCTAAAACCGCTCCCATTACCCAATCATGTCGAAAACTGTTTCAAAGAAAGTTCAATGCATCAGTTCTGTCATTGAAATAGTTCGTATTTTTTGTATTATCTGTACACTTATTTTTTGTTACATAAACTGCGTACTGGTGTCTCACGGGCCTCAAAGATTTATAGTTACTAAAGATTCAGAAAATTATGCATAATTCAAAAGTGTGTTATTGTATTTTATTTCCACTTAATAATGCATAAAAACAAGAAAAAACCAAAAATGGAAGTTAAAATGTAAAATTTATCATATTTTTTAAGAATAATTTTCCTTCAGATTTCATTCATATCAAATCAGAATACATACAAATACCAGCTGAAATCACGTTACCCAAGAATGCAGTTGAAACGAAGATGTTATAAATTCCCATTGCCACATCGGATAAGCGTTATAGGAAGAATACGATTACTATTTTATTATTAGTGTGCAGAACAATCAGAAACTACAGAGTGGGTTTCAGGTGACCCTAGTTTCACCATTGACGAGTTAACTTCTATCCTCGGCAAAATATTGACACCGTCTGAGACTAAGAAACATGAGGGCAAGCTAACAATGTGAAGATCTCTTAAGGAAATGGCACAGGTCTAATTTTTATTGAAATAACTAATGCTTTGAAAATTACAAAAGTTCAAAATTTTTTTGGCATCTTCCTACAACTACAATAATAAAGATAGAATCGAAATTTGTTCAGAAACATCTTCAAATAATGTCATGATCAATGTTTCGAAAATATGAGTGGTGTTTGTGTGTTTTGTCATGAAACAGGCAATTTCTGAAAATCATAAAACGGCTCCAATTTTTCCCCCTCATATATAGGAAAAAACGGTAAAGAAGTGCGATTCACATTTTCGTTGTACTCTCAAAATTTTAAAAAACTGCAAAAGTTCAAAATTTTTTCGACCTCTTGAAATGAACTCTTACTTTTCAAAAATAGGTCTTGATACAAAGTCATGTTCAATTTTTCGAAAACATAGTCAATTTTGACACAATTTTAAACAATTATTTTTCAAACACAGGCTCAAATTTTTGTTCCCCACGTATGTGGCAAAGAAGGGAAAGAAAGTAGTGCTTGTCCCATTTTTTGGCAAATTCGCTCAAAATCTCATAAGATCAGGTCCTTTAAAATTTTGGTCAGCAGACAATTTAATTCCTTCTATAATTTGTTTTCATAACAAATCAAATTTAATCTTACGTCTATGTTTTTCCAGTCGCCAGAAACATTTCTAGGCCTTTGACACCCCACAACGTCATGGAAGACTGGAAAAGATTGGACGTAAGATTAAATATTAAAATTATATAATTAAAGCTGAAAATTTGTCTGCTGTCTAAAAAAAATTAAAGGGACTTGATCTTAAGAGGAATACTACTATAAGAAAACAGTATAAAATGTATAAAACTTTAAAAAAGATCATGTTGATTTTTAAATAAATAGTAGCGTTTGTTAATAGTCGATATCGAAAATTCGAATTTCCCGCCAGTGGGACTCATTCAACATAGGAGGCCCTTGGGTCGATACATGGGAGTCCCCTAATTAAAGCCGTGTCATTAATTTAATTTGGTGATTATAAATTGAATTTTGGGTGTGAACTCATTTATTGCAATACGCTATTAGAGAAAATTAATTATTTTTGCAATTTCATCATAAATTTAAAATTTAAATTTTGGTCTTTTCTTTGCATTTACAAATTTATCATTAACAGAAATATTATTTTTCAACCACATCGGATTTTGTGCTCAATGGATAAAATTCACAAATTACTCAGACGGTCTTCTGCTCGCTACTTCGTAATTTTTTACTTTCCGGTATACGCACGTATATACGAAGTAATATGAGTATACGTAGTAAAAGGAAAGTTATGTAATGCTGCGGAATATCGATTTCGAGATTTCAACGAAAATACACGTTTTGTGGTCCCCAGAAACCGAAAAAGGTTTTTTTTTTCAAAACGTCCGTCTGCCAATTTGTCTGTCTGTGAACACAACTAGTGTACTAAACCATGCGTAGAATGTTTTCCAAATTGAAGAAACCCCTGTTCATCTGAATCATATCGAAGATTTGAGATTTTGAAAAACATTCTGTAAAATTTGGGAGTACTTTACATGAAACCCTCAGGACATTTTCAATGTGCATCAAATGGCCTCTAATGAAGATTTTTCAAAAACTCAATCATTTTCTGTTAAAAAGAGCTTTAAATTTCGAACTTACAGTAGCGTTTAAATGCCATTTTCTTAAAAACATTTCCAAATTTTTCAATATAAATTGCCATTTATTCTTTAATCTTCTTAAATAATATTCCTGTTCTACTATTAGGAAACTGAAATGTTAAGAAAATGTCAAAAAATATACTTGGGCGGCGATATATGGGAGCTGGCATATGTATGAGGCAAGTCCGGGTAGCTAGCCGAGACCAAAGGAAATAGAAAACGAATACGGGAAAGTCTGCCATTGTGTAGCACCACTAGTTAAACGTATTTTTAAACATTCATTATTGGCTCATGAAATTGAGTCTTCATCAATATTATTGCCAAATATTACCGCAAGAGGTAGCGTTATTAGTATTTAGTTATAGGTATATGTACAATAACTGTGTAACAGTCAGCAAATAATGTGTTTATTTGATGACGACTTTTTTGTATGTAAGAATGGGGGGTTTCTGAAATAAACGATTCAGTTTTCTTCTGCAGAGCGATTTATTAGAGTTACAGCAAAATTAACAGCACATAAACCTTCTCGACGAAAAAAAACTCGTAGATGTGCGAATTTTCATGGAGATCGGTCACACGGTGTCGGAGTTTACCGCTTTTAAATATAACAACATCCATTTTTACACACACACACACACGTGAGCTTCCAGGCATCTGTAAACAGTGCTTGATTTATATACTATATTATAATATATTTGCATAATTACAATAAATATATTATTATTATTATTATTATTATCACATCTTACACATTTTACATAATTATTTCACATGTTTTTAAAAGATTAATTTAATGTTATTTTTACGTTGACTCGCCCACGTTTTCGTGTGGAACTAACTACGCCGCAGAACGGGTGTGAGAGACCACAGGAAGTAGCTCTAGCGATATCATTCTGTGGCAAGGGACGAAAGACACGGATTTGTGTTGCTGGCTCGACGCAGCGAAACAACAAAATCGGACGCCATCGACCACATTACGCTTTGCTGAAGTTAGTGAATCATTTTCAGTCTGAGAATTTACGAGGAGGGGAAAGTCGTTCCCCTATAGAGACTTTGATTTCCTGTTGGAAAATTACGTGTCCCCGCCAGGGGCAGAATTAATCCATAATATTTAGGCATCTCCTGCCGGCGGAGTCACGGCCTTGTGATCCCACCAAAAATCCTGGCGGGAATTTGGAACCCCCTCCCTCCCGGGATTGCTAGTGATTCCGGGCGCGTTAACTACTAAGGCCATTATTCCCGTAAGTGTAGAGCATAATTTTTATTGGGGGAGGTGGCGGCGATATTCCCCCGCTTGTTCCAGCGCTGACCTAACGTCGGGTAGAGGTGTTGTCCCCAACCAGGTATCTCCCACCAACGGGGCATTCTATACTCGGGTCAAGCTCTAAGCTCCCGACCGATGTCCCGGCGTTCGCGGTAGTGTAGTGCATGTTAGTGTGTGTGTAAGGGGCGAGGAGGCAACAAAGAAGAAGGAAATATCGCGCGCGGTCCTTGGACCGTTTTTTTGAGTACTGCTCCTGCATTCGCCTGGTGTTAATCGGAGAAACCACGAAAAACTATCCCCACTAGGTGCCCAGCTTCCTAGTGGTACTAACATGGTGGCTGTTGTGAGGATAGGGGTTGGGGCTCCGTTTCTGAAAATGTAATTGATTTTTTTTATTTAATGAGATCTTAACATGTAATAAATTGTAGCAGGGAATCCTGCCAATCATCATAATTTGGAAACGGAATAAATCACGAGCGATTATAATAAATGTTTTGTTTATAAGAACCCATGTTTCAAACGATTGATCGACATTACATGTGTATACATACACTCGCTAATCTTTGCATTTAAGAACAGAAGTCTTCAAATCTATTAACAGACAATTCGCTATGTTCGCCTCACTAATTTCGGCTCGTGTAACCTCCCATTCACATACGCTTGCTAAAGCTAATCCAAGACCTTCTTTGAAGATCTAGTCACAACCGAACTACGGATTGAAACAAAATGACGATAGAAAGTGTCCATTCTATTAATATTATGATTTTATTAAAATTGAGTATTTGCATTCGAAAATGGATAAATATTGGCAAACTACGGAACAATTGGGGCCTTTACCTTTCATTTGAAGTAAAAATCACGAAATTTGGTTGAATGTTGGCTCAAATATTTTCTAAGCTAAAACCCTTAAAGTTTTAAATAAACATATGTTTGCAATTTCTAAAATTGGCAGATGTTTTAATGAAAATAGGAACTATTCTTACTTATAAACAATTTATAATATTCGAGCAAAAAAATAAAAATCTGCAATTTTCCATAAAATTGTGAAAATAGTTAAGGGGCCTGTGTGAGTACCCCCAAAAATTAAAATTTCAAATAAAATCTCTAAAATGGCAACTAGATCTTCCCTCCCTGACATATTTAACAAGTTTCACCTCAAAAATCTCTAGTAGGACAGCGTGTGCGTGCCAAATTCTTCTATCCTTCCATTCATACAGACATCGATGTTCGGGTACAGAATTTAGTGTATCTCTTCGCCAATTCCATCTTTAGAACATCACTTTGGATCTCCATCTGAACCATCTTTGGAACTAATAGACTTTAATCCTGGCGTGAGATCCAAGATTACGCCGACTTTGAAGAAAATTAAACTGAAAGAGTTAAAATTGAAATCCTGTTATCGGATTCATTTGAAATTTACTAAGGAGTAAGACACGGAAATCCATTATCGGCAATTCTGTTTAATACAATATTAGAAAGAGTAATTAGGCAATGTAAGCTTTAAAATGACGCAGCTTAATGCTTATGTAAAAGATATAGCCATAATAAGCAGAAACAATAAAGCACTTACAGAATTATATAACAAACTGACAATAGAATATAGGTATTGTGGTGAGTTTTCGTTGGCATTTCTAATGAAATAATTATATGCGTCGTCATTGCCAACAATATTATTTATTAAAAAAGCAGCTTTCGATGGCTTAGCCATCATCAGTTTTCTGCTGTATGGAAGCCACAAAAACGACTACCAAGTCGACCTAGACTACCTAGTACCACTTATAATTCAAGAACGGTTGGAGCGGTGATTTATTGGAATAACAACCCGGAATAGCAGAATAAGTGCGCTAACGCGAGTAATGAACGAACGGACAGACACACGCAAGTTACTCGGGCTGTTATATTAAAATGTATTGTCAAATAAATTTTGTAAATACCTGTAAATCCGTCTGTTAGAACACCCTTCCCTCTCTTTCTGTCTCTCTCTTGGCAGCAATCGAAGTGGACTTAGGCTGGGTAACATTTTGAAGTTAGGAAACAAGAAAAATACACTTTTATTCTTATTTGAGATGGTACAAAATTTATTTACAAGAGTATTATAAGTACACTTCTCTTAACTCTCTACAGGAAATTATATGACTTTTTGCCACAAACTTCATGGGAGTTAACTTTTTGGGATGAGTGATCATGATAAAATAAAAAATGGCTTAAGTTTATATACATTTTGATTTCAATTTCTGATAGGGATTAAAAATGATAATGAAATAAAGAGAAATGGTTTCATATTTGACTCATTGAACTAATGAAACAAAAATAGTAATTTTGAATGAATAAAAACATTGTTAGTGAAATTAAATCATTGGAAACAAAAATGATTCAGATTCATAAATTATTTATAGAGTAAAAATGTTTTTAAGGAATGCTTTTAATGAAGCAAACAATGATTTTAAAAATTCAATGCAGCATTATTTTTAAGAGGGTTCCCTACACATGAAGTATCTGAATAATCATCACTCTGTCTCTGGAGCAGATGAACTTAAGTCTGATGGTTTATCTTCTTCTGCTGCAGCAGATGCTCTTGAATGTGATGGTTCTTCAACACTTACAATTGCTGGCTCATCTCCCTGTTCTACAGTAGATGGAGTCAAATGTGATGGTTCTTCTACACTTAAAATTGGTGATTCAGCTTCCGGCTCTGCAGCAGGTGGCCTCGAGGGCGATTGCCCACCTTCCTCAACAGATCTTGCCCTTGCGCTAGTATCAATGAGTGGTTCTCTGGAAGAATTTATTTTGTTTCTTTCTTTGTAGCATTTGCTTGGTCCTAATAAAATGAAAAGGGGAAAAAGATATTTATTAGTGCTGAAAACAGTAATATACTACATCTGATATTTGTGTGTACGAGGTTGTGGGACAGACAGACACTGGCTAACACAGCAAATGATAATTTAACATTGAAAATGTGTTTTAAGTTTAGGGAGAAAAAATGTATTACCTATGTAACTCAGAAGGACAGGAAGAAATATGAGTCCATGGGCAGCTCCAAATATCACAATTCCCAGATACATGCGGAAATAAAAGATTTGGAATATCTGTGACTTGGCTGTCACTAAGACAATAATTCCTAGAAATTTTGTGACTGTGATTCCTGAGAAAACCTGAAATAAACCACAATAATATTGCTAAGTAATTTATTAATAAATAATTTGTTTCAAGCAATGGTTCTAAAAATTAAAAATCAATGTATTTGAGTAGTGCAAAATGTAAATATATACACACTCATATCCATAGATTTGAGTACAAATGAGTGTAAAGTGCAGATATTACATTATTCTCTGAAACTTAAGGAAACATAAATGGGCATTATGAATAATAAGAAGGAAAATTCAGAGAAAACCAAGGGAAGAAGAAGGGAGGTTTTTGGCATACAGAGCCCACATTCCAGAGAAGAAACTTCTGAAAGAAAATCAGTCAAGCCAGAAAGATTGGGGCTGAATCATGGGTATACTCATTTTCACACTGATTTCAAGCAATTCGTAACTGATTCATATTAAAACTCAATACATAACGTGGCTATAAATAACCAAAATATTATCTCTTTAATTTAAAATTTGTGTTTGTAACAATGGTATGTAGTATAATTACACTTCATGTTTATGTAAGGTTTGAACAATGGGATTAGGTTGGGCAATTCTGTGTCAAGGGTATTTGGAAGTAGAATGTTTGTTGTGTTTAAACAAATGCATGTATTGTGAACAGGTTCACTGAGTTTTGCACTATTTTTATAAAAAATTGTACTTACTGCACTACCCATTGTTGCCAATGCCTCAGTTACACGTTCTTCTTTTGTGTTCTTTGAGGACTGAGCAAAAGCATGTACAATGTGACTACAAAATTCAACTGAGATTCCTACTGCCTGTGAAATAGAAAATTCAGTATTAATACACCAAACCCAAGTTGAATAAGGTAATTTTAGTTAGAAAACAAATTAAAATAATAATTTACACGAAATGTAATTAATAGAAATCATTTTGTATAATGATCAAATAGAATAAACAACAAATTATTAGGATTTTGATGTGATATTTATAAATATACTACTATTTGACAAAATAATTTAATTTGTCTTAATATGTGACACGAGAAAATGAAGAAAATTTATTTTAGATAAAAAAAAATTAAAACACTTTATAATTAATTATATTTAACATACCATGACAAGATTGACAAGGCTCACAGCATTCAAAGTTATATCCCACAAATACATCATTCCAGCAATATCAATGACTGTCATAGCTACAGTCAAGGTTACTATTAAAGCAGAAAGTACATTGAATCCCATGAACAGGAAGGAAACAACCATGACAGCTACCAACGAATAACCAAGTGATTCCAAACTGTTTGCCCATATGTCCAAATACTGTTCATAAAATACATAAAATACACTGAAAAAAAAAATGAAAGGAATTAAAAAGAAATTTTTTTTATATATCTTGTAAATAAGAAAAAGGATATGTAAATTAGAAGAAATTAAATAAGAAGGTTATTACAATAATTCAATTTTTAAATCCAAAACAGAAATCTTAGTATTTGAGATACACTAAACCAAAACCATAATCTAACTAAACCAAAATCCCAGATCCAAAAACTTTTAGGTCAGTTTTAGGCATTAACTTTACATGTTTCCTTGTAAAAGTATTAATCTTTGGCACCAATATTTTGGGACAATCAAGAAACAAAACAAGGAAGAAAATTGAGTTATAGTATCAAGAAACAAGGAAACTTAGCCATTAGAGTAAGTAAAACTATTTGAATGATATGAAAATCCAATAAATTTGTGTCCTCATTTTTGATGCCATAGATGCTTAAATTAATCCATCCTAAATATCAAGTAGGCCTATGTTCTTTTTGTACAGAGAGGAAAGTGACTGACGTTTGGTACTGATTGTGAAGCTCCTAAGCCACTTTTATACATGACTGAAGAAACATAAAGTCTTTGGGGGAACAGGTCAATCTTTAAATAAGAAAACCCAGCTCCTATGATCTACAGGGGTGCTTCCCTAAAATGTTTTTCATTTTTCTTGGGAGTGCAAGTAGGGGGAGGGGGAGGCTGTTGTGAAGTATGGATGAGAATAGTGGTGCTAGTGGGAGTGGGAATGATGGGACAGCAGATAGGAAGGGTGAGTCCAGAAGTGAGAGTGGGCTGAAAGGTCAAGTGTGGGGTATCTCTTCTTCCCATTATGCAATCTGTTCCTTGTTCTACTTTCTCATTTATGTATGTATAAACAGAGTAGTATATGAAGTGTAGAGAAAGTTTTGTATTGCTGTGGCCAAAAACAGTGATTTTTTGCCAGAGAAACTCATATTGTGAGGCTCTGATACAGAGAGACCTATTAATAATCTTGGAATAAATCCTGTTCTAATATGTAGTAAATTACTCCCTCCAACACGAACAGATTTCATGAATAATGAGACCTTCGTACAGAAAAGGTGTTTTTTTCAAAACATCTATCTGTCTTTTGTCTGTGAACAATACTAGTGTCTAAATAGGATTGTTTACAAATTGAATATTCCCCTGTCCATTTGGCCTCGTTCTGCAATTTTGAAAAAAAGACATTAATTTTTAAGGGTACTTTACATGAAACACCTAGAACATTTTCAGAATTTTCTCAAAAATGGTATCAAATTTTTCCTTTAAAGCTTTTGTAAGAATAGAGTGAAATACACACTAATAAAGGTGTCATAAGTCCAATTTTCACTGTTAACTCTGAATTTTCAAAAATTGCAAAAGTTTGAATTTTTGGGCATCTTCTACTACTACAAAATTGAAGGTAAGGGTTTTTTCTTAAAATTAAATTTGTTCTTCTTAATTTGTTCTTTCAATAAGGTCATCTGCATTTTTTTGAAAATGTTTATAGTTTTCGTGTAATGTTGCGAGACGTATGTGCAATATTAAAAAATAACGGAAACAAGAATTTCTCAAAAAGGTCTCCAAATTTTTTCTTTAGACTTTTCATAGGGATAGTGCTATATGTACTGTATATGATGACATAAATGTCATATTGCTGTATTCTTTTGATTTTTCAAAAATTACATAAATTTTTTTTTACTTGTCTCTCATGTAGATATTTATATTAACAAAAATGTGTTTACATCATTGAATTTATTAAAACAGAAGCTTCAAATGATGACTTATAAAGTATTTAAAAAACTCAAAAGTTTTCTGTGGAAATTATCTCAACATTTTTACATTTTTAAAAACATTGAAACACTATTTCCCTGAAAATAAATAAATAAATAATTCTTTTGTTTTTTCAAACATAATGCATTTTAAATCTCTGATGCTGTTAAAATGCACGTTACCAGCAATTTGTATACATTATTGCATTTGTTGCAACACTTCCAACACTTGCTCGATATAATTTCTTATAAAGTTTCTCGAAAACTCAAAAGTTTCAGGTGAAAATAAGCATCAAATTGAGCATTTCCAGAAATACTCAAATGACATTTTCTCTAAAATGGCATCTAATTTTTGAGAATTGCATTTTCAATGAGTTTTTCCACGTCTATATTTTCTTTAAGTCTTGTTTCACTTCTTCCTTTAGAAAAGCAAAACATGGTGGGGAAAAAAAAGAAAAAGTACTTTGGACAGCAATAGGTGGCAGCTGACAAGACCAAAAAGCTAGCCCAGACCAAAGAAATGAGAAAAATAACTAGTATAAGAAAGTCTGTGCCAATCTGTAGCACCGGTAGTTTCTATTCTAATGTTTGATATTGTAATGGACATCAGTTTACAACTACTCTCTAAACATAATAAAGTTTTTGCTTACATTTTTTTGAAGACTTCTATACTTTCTCATTGAAATTGAATGATCTCATTGAAGTTTAGTCCTTTAAATTGTAGCCTTAAGCAGTGAAATAGTGGGGCAAATGAGAGGCAAATGTATTCTATGATATAATCAGGCATATAATACAATTTAATGTTTTTTTACCTGTAAGGAAATACTTCAACAGCATCATTTCCCAAATGAACCTGCAGCATGTATGTGAGATTATCTGCAATTTTCCGAGCCCAACGTAATGCTTCATAATAGTCTTCTGATGTCTTTAATGTTGTGTGAAATGCCATAAAATATGTATCTTGTACTTCAAAAAAACCATCATCAGTTGTTACAAAATTCACTGCCTGTGAACATCAAGATAAAAAAACTAATAAATATTTACAACATATTTTTATAACCCATCTTAAGACTGCCAGGATATAATATTACTGAGGGATCCTGAGAGGTATTTAACTGTGTGTTATTGGCAGTATACTTTAAAAATGTGAGTATGAAATAAGGGAATATTATTTTAAAACCATGATAATTGCAGTAAAATTATATACATAATGCATTAAAAAACTGTTCTGTTATGAATAAACCAATCATCTTAGTTTATTTTCTTTGACCAAAACTTACTTCGCCATATGCTGCAAGACCTCCTTTTGGACAGTCAGTGGAGGGAGCATGGAGCAGAAAATCTGATATTCGAGTCTGAAAGACTTCTTCTGATGGCTTCCAAGTTTTTGAACAAGCACATTCATTACCTAAAGACATACAAAATTTAGGCTCTTGTTTAATTTTATGCAAACTTCGTAATGAAATAAAATGTAAAAAACAGCAAACATCTTAAACTGGGGAATCAATACTTAATTAATAAAACAGTTCTTGCACTATAGACAAATTATTTTTAATATTTAATTACCACCAATGCTTTAGTCTCATTTCAATGCTTCTTTGGGGCTCTGAATATGTGAATGTCAGCATGGAAATTACAAAGTATAATAATTGTTCCTGTGCTATTAATATGGCTATGCATGACTTGTTTTGAACAAAGCAGCCCTTAATAATAATAATAAAAAGCAATTTGCCATAATCTGTAGACACATATACAATTATTAACATTTGAGTATTAAGTAGGTATAAGATATGTAAGAAATAAATACAAGTAGAAGTTGCAATTTATTGTTAAAACTGTTTTCGGGTCATTCCTATCTTAGGCATAAACATTTTTTGTTATTCTTGTAAATACTATACAAAATTAACAAATGTGAAATGTTAATCAATAGTAATAATCAGGATATTCAAATAAAAATTATATATTGGAAGAGTAAAATATCAGGTAATTTCAACCAAAATAAAAGATAAAATAATTTAATTAAGGAATCACATAGTACAATCGCAACATGTAAACTAGATTTTGTCGAAATAATGAAGTCAAAAACAAAAAAGGAATGTTATAGTTTTTATTATAAATTTAATAATTTAGTTCTTCTAAACAAAAAATCTAGAGAATAAAAAGAGATGTAAGGAAATTTTATAAATACATTTTTATACAAAAAATTCCGTAAAATCTATTCTAGAGTGATCGGTTTCAAATTTAAGTTTTTATATGCATTTTTTTGGAATGTTGCTTTAAATGTCACCATAAAATTTCCTGCTGTGAGTTTGTTCTGATGGCGTGAATTGACCCTGTTACAAATATTTATAAACTTGGTATTTCAGCATAGAGTCTTTCAAAAACTAATTTTATGTCTTCATTTTTTGTAATAATATTCTGTCACTGGAAGTCCACAACTTCTCATAAGAAATGCTAACAACCTGTTGTAAATGATAACCTGGGTGAATTGGACTTATTTTACTTCTATGCTTCTTCATTATTAAACCAATAAAATCTTTCTTTGTTTGGACTGTACTTACCTCCACATTCTTCTGAGCAACATGTAGCCAAACTTATCCAATCAAAGTAATCATCCAACCATGATGAAGCTGGTCTCAATATATATGTACTGTGAAGCAAAGATTATTTTGTTCATACATTTTCATGTTATTTAGTTATTTATTATTTTAGGATATGTGTATGAAATACATAATATTTGAAAAAAATTATTAATACATATTTTAATGTATTCTATGCTTTTTAACCAGCACAAGAAACAATGAGCAAAAAGGCGAAGCCTTAAGGCTTGAGCGTACAGAAAGTCAAAATTAAACACATTTTTTGGAAGGTTGGATATTCAATTATGGTAAGATTAAATCACAATTTATTAATAAATTAAACCACAATGATGTATAAGTATATATAAATTGAATGTCTAAAATTTGAAGAGGAACTGTTTTTTTATTAATATGACTATAAAAATTCAACAAGAGAAGAAGAAATAAGTTTATAAAGAAAACAATGACATTAATACAAATAATTTATAATAATTTTAACCTGGTATTACATGTATAAATATTCAAATCACTTCTTCCTTTTCTTTGGAGATTCCTTTAGAATTCTCTGGGATTTCTGATTGTGTTCTTCTGTATCCCCAATGTTTGAAGAGTATTTAGAGTTCCTTGTGGATATTAGGGTTTCTCAAACTTTTCATATTGGCACAACATAATTATTTTGCCAGTTACTTCAAAAAATGCCATTTTCCGCTGGCATTACGAGATTAGTCTTAAATCATATTTATGATGATTATGTAAGCATTCATAACAGCAACATCGATCATGTTATGAAAAACCTTTATTCGCCACCAACAATTGCCTTCACAATGAGTAGTCATTGAACCTTTGATCCATGAGATTAACTCCAATCTTTGTTTTGTTGTATTCACGAATAATTGATTCTTTTTGTCATGACATGTTTTGATCCAGGTACATTGTGCAAGGAATATAAATAATTTTGCACATTTTTGGCTTATATAATACAATTATAATATTTCCGAGTGGTTCAAAAATACTAGAATATGATTCTCTACCATTATAATCTCACAGTTTAGAAGGTATTTCCCACTGGTTAGCTTGCAATGTATCAAGATTTGTTAGTTTCTTCTCCATTAGAAATTCAACCAACTCCTCAAATGTAAAAATAATGTTGTTGGGTTATAACTTCCACTGATTAATAGGTGTATCAATATCTTTATTATTTTTGCAACACATTTTTAAATCTTTTGCAACAGGTTTGACTTTTCTTTTCCCTTAGTATATTTTTTCATTGCTGAATCACAGCACCAAAAGTCTTTATTCCTAATTTATGTGATCATGATTTGTGTCATTGGTGCAGGCCAATTGCTGCAACTCTGACAAAAACTCTTTAAAAATAAGTCTGGGAAGAGTGCATATAAATTCCAAAAACACAAATGTGTATCTTTTGCATTAAAAGATCCATTAAGGGAAAACAGACTACTGGGCCTCAGACACCCACTTAGTGGAAATCACAACTACCTTTCAAAAAGTTGACAAATGTGGAAAAATATCATGAGTTACAAGACCATCTTTTGCAATAAGAAAACAAACATAACAACAGAGGGTAACATGAAAGGTCCAAGATGTAATATGAACAGAAAAATATTTACTGTAATAAGAAACACCGCCAAGCCTTTGAGGCCCTCTACGTGCAATGAGGAGGTAGCAAAAGACATCGGAAAGAAATTGAAAACCAAAAGTTAAGTAGAAGAGATAGAACAGTCTCAAAGGAGATGGAAAGATCATTGACAGAGAATGAACACCAGATTTCCAAAATTAATCTGGAAGTACAAATCAATAGGGGCCAGAGATAGAGGCAAACTACTACAGAAGTGGCAACAGCTGGAACATTTGGAAGACTCATACTCTACCAAGAATACTGTAATAAACCAATAAAAACAGGCTGTAAAATCTAATTTCTGGTCAGATCATGATGATGGCATGACACTCAATAGGCGAGTCGAAACAAGTCTGTCTATGTACATGCACAAATAGTTTGCAGCATTACATAACTTTCCCTATACCTTGTTGTAAGTAGTAAGTGAGAAAGTAAAAATTTCAAGGGCAGCGTTTCTTGAGGATGTAAAGTCAAGGCAGCTGTGACATCCAGATTTGTAGTGTGGTCAAAAGAATTTTTTTCAAAAGAATTGGAGGACAAGTGGTCAAAGTGGCTAGGCCCAAGATAATAAATCCTTTCAATTCTGTAATCATTTTCTTATTTACATAGAAATATTATTAAATGTCTTCTGTACCAAATGACTGATGAATTTGAACCTATAGATCACCCCTTACAGCCAAGGAAACCTAGAATCTCAATCTCGACTTCAACTGAATACAAAATTGGAGAAAGGAGATAAAGCAGAATGCATTAGAAATTCACAACATGGGTATATACAGGACACAAGTAACATGTTGGAATGGGTAAGTCACTTAAAGAAGTAAACACCATTAAAGCAAGCTAATGAAAAAACAAGTACTACGTTGTTTCATTGTATTTTTTAAAATTATGAACTAAAATATAATTTTGTTTAAAAAATTACAAGGTGTTCCATTTCAGTGGGGGCTCTAAACATATGTTTACTCTGTTTATGCATTAATTCTCCCCAGTTAACATCCATTTATGATAACCAAAATATTTTTGTAGTCTACTGAGGAAACAGAGCAAATCAAATGCTGATTTAATATCATGACAATGATATAATAGGATCATGTGTCTTGTAACATACCTATCTGGCACTTCAGATGCTCGATATATTTGGGAGCTGAGAGAATCTGAATTACAGCCTTGTCCTCCACATATGATGTTTTGAATTCTTCTATTTTTGAAGTCAAGTCCATTTTTAACAACAAAATACACGTTTGGTCCCATGGAGAGTAGATCTTCCATATACTGTAAAGATAAAATATTATAACTAAACAACAACTTTTTATACATTAAATGTTTGAAAAATATGAAAAAAATTAATGTATTTTCTAGAAAATAATTAATTTATATGTTTAAAAGCAATTTAATATTAAAAATACGTGTTAGAACATGATTACTAACACATTGGTTTCTAAATGACTTACAGTGTCCATTTTTTCCAATTTAAAATTCCAGAACCTGTTTTCCTAATCTGTTTCTAAGAAGATCATTTCTTAAAACAGTTTTCACAAAGTAAGGTTTATTAATGACAATTTTTTGTAAAAATATTTTGTCCAAAAATGTTTTAATAAACATTATTCATTTTATGAGGTTTTTCATTTACAAGTACTTCTGCAAATTTAGAATGAAGCTCTGGGTCAAAATATTTGTGGTCTGCATCATTTTGTGTATTGTAATTTCCAGAAAAATGTATTACTAAATGAAATTATGTACTACTGGAAAGATACAAAAATTAGCGTTGGGCACTAAAAAAGAATCCTGAGTTCTCAAAATGACACAAGAAGATCATCATTATCAAGAACTGCAGGATGTATGGCCAGGGCGTGGGAGTGGGGATGGGGGTTCTGTTCCTGGATAAGCAGTAGGCCTGAAATACTTCACTCTTCTAGGTATTCCTGCATGATCCACTTCTTCCTTGGTCTTCCTGTATCTCTGTCCAAGTGGCTTATATTTTAGGACAGTCTTTGGGAATCTTCCTTCTTTCATTCTTTTAACATGTTCCAGCCATTTTTTCAGGTTCTTTTTAACTTCCTCTGTTATGTTTCTTGTATTAAATCTTTTCCTTATGTCTTTATTTCTCTGTCAATTCAGTCTAGAATAGCTAAGGAGGTGTCTTAGGAACCTCATTTCAGTCTTTCAGTCTTTGGTTGTCTCTTTATTTTAGGATCTAGGTTTCTGATCCATATTCTAGCACTGGTTTCGCTGTCATGTTGTGCATTCTTAATTTGGTTTCTTCAGTCCTGTCCTTGCCAAAATATCTTTGAATTATTCCATTTATTTTAATATATTTAAAAATGTTGTATTGGAGGTCCTGGGAGTTCAGTCCAATGTCATTGCCTAAATATTTGAATGTTGATACTTGCTCTATTATTTCCCCTACAATGACTATCTTCACTCCTCTTAGTTCTGTTCCTTGGAATGCCATTGTTTTTGTTTTTTAGTTGTTGAGATTTTCATGTCATAGGTCTTTGTTATTTTATTCAGTTTATGTGTTACTATTTGGACTTCATCTACTGATTCAGCCAAAATTATTTGGTCATCTGCAAACAGGATTGTTTAGGTATAGTTTAATTTTGTATACCTTGATTTACTGACTTCTTCTATTCTTTGATGAAACTGTTGGCATTAATTTTGTAAAGAATGGGTGATAGGTCGCATCCCTGTCTCAGTCCTTCATGTATGTGCCGAGTGAAAGTTATTTTGTGATGGTTGCATTATTCATTTTTATGGTGATTTTTGAGTCCATGTAGTGCTTTTATTCCATTGATAATAAAAGAAGACAACACAAGAAAATAAATTAAAATAAAACCACCAAGAAAGCCCCAATTCTGTAAATCAAATCAAGAAATCATGTGAAATGAAGCAGCAAAATTAATAGATTGGAAAATGGATGAAAGATAAGATGAGTAGATGAAAATAGTTAGTGCTGTTTGCACTAATAATTTCTTTTACCAAATTTCCAAATACTTCTGGAAATATTTCTAGATCTACAAAAAAGACAAGCAAAGTTTTCATTATCAAGAAAGAATTAATCTCCCAATTATGCAAATAATATTAACTTGCAAAGGCAACAATTATAATCTAAATCCTAAAGTCATAGATTTTTGGGCAAGGAGTTTTGGAAGCAAGTTGATTAGATTATGAAAAAATCTCATTTGAATGCACAAGAGAAAGGGAGAGAAACTAAATGTTTTGTAATTTTTCTCCAATTTGATTTAATGTTCTCAAAACAACATGGATGAATTGCATGTTAACTCATTATAGGCCTTTCATGACAGGCATATTGACCTGTCAAATGAATTTGACTTAGATTACACACTACTGCTTGTTTATGACTACCAGTGCATGATAGAAATGGGAGTACCTAGGAGAACTAAATCTCCAAAAATGTGACAGAAGGTTGAAAGGCATCTCATTTTGTAGAATGAAGAAGTCTAACTGAATGTTATAGACATTTTTGGGCCTAAAACAATTTGAAAATATGTAACACATTTTTTCAGAAGAAAGACAAGAATAAAGCAAGGAGTACAAGAGGGGTGTAGTTTGTCCCCACCTCCACTTTTTGCATGTTACCTGCATATTCCCCTATGTTTTCCTTGCATTTCCCACATTTCAAACTTTTCATGCCTATTCTCTGCATGTTCCCCCACATATTAATCTGGAAATTAAATTGGATATTCAAAAATTAATTAATTTTTATTATTGTGAATTACTTTTTTAAATGCTACAACAGTGACTCCCTTACATGAAATGAGAAGTTCTGAATAGTTGGAGTACCTAGAAGAGTGGAATGCCCCAAAAAACATAACAAAGGATCCAAAATATTTTTTCTAATTATTGCAATCTCCCAAAAAATAGCACTTTTGAAATAATGGTTTTTAATGAGAAAAAAGCTGCGCATTGGAACATAACTTTTAGCATTTATGACAATCCATACCTGGGTGATGAAACCATCTAAAAATATAATAGAATGTCCAAAAAGACCTCATTTTGCAGACCACTGCATTTAAATCTTAAGTCACCTCCCTAATGGGATCGTGAAAATGGGGTGCAAGTTGTATTTGTAAAATGTTTTAGACATTGATCCTTGAGGTACTCCTATTTCAATTTATGTAGACTAAGATGGGTATTAGCAGTTTAATTCTACTTTGAATGATGAGTAAATAAGGTATTTGACTAAACCTCACCTCAAAGTAACGGAGTACATAAGAATCTTCCGGCATGGAGAGCTTTTGATCCAGACCAGGTTCCAAATGAGGGATCAGGGCAATGTTTCCACAGAGCAGGAAAGCAAAGAAAACCAACACAACCCATCTCACTGGCCAGAGCATGAGAAATTTGGCATATACATTCTTCATGAAATTGTACAGAAAGCCTTCAGAACTTTCCGTATCATCATCTTTTGATTGCTGAATGCAACAAAATAAATCTATGCGATTTTCCTGTGAAATAAATAATTTTTTGAAACAAAGAGAGAAATAGATTAAAACATTATAAGTAATTAAATCTTTCAAAACATGTTTTTAAATAGAAATTTCTTTATTTATGCAATGTAGAAATTATTAACACTATTCTTAATAACATTGTTATATAAATTAACTTTCTTTCCTGTTCAAGAAATGGATATATTTCAATATTAATAATTTTATTTATTTGTTTATTCATCTGCTTCATTATTATGAAAAAAAAGGCATCTTAAAATAATAAATGTATTCAATAAAGTAGGTAATATACATGTATATAATGTTAAAAGAATAGCAAAATTAAATGTACTATAAAAATTAAATTCTATGGCAATTCCTGTCCTAAACAGATCCCATATTCTCTCAATCAAGAATCACTGCAAGAAACAGTGGTTGAGATTGTTATTGAGTTGTTATCTGGCAGTGAGTAATGGGTCTTTTAAATAAAATTTTCAAAGGTTTGCGTTTAAATAAATTTAGTGACAATTTTATATTCCCCCAAAAATATTAATAAATAAATTGCTGAATTTTAAGTGCAACAGGACCAAGGAGTTCAAGAATGCAACTTCTGGGAGAAGAACTGTAATCATTAATGATATTCTAAGATGGCAGCTCAAATAGTAAAATAATAAGTACAGATAATTGTAGGGGTAAAAATAGAAAACAATGAACAAACACAGCATATATTAACTATGTCATGCCATTAATAATTGAAAAATAATCAATTTATTTCAATTTCATTTTTTGAAAATTCAGCAATTGATCTCATTTAAATTTCCATAATTTTGACTCCTCTCCTCTTAAAAAGAGACCACAATATTATTTATGAAGTATTGTATTTGAGTTACCTCTTGTCTTTTAGTATCAAGAGCCAGCAAACTGGCAAAACAAGTAATTTGTAAGAAAAAATCTATAAGTAATGCCACTCCTGCATAAAGAGAAAATACTCGAACTGCTGGCATGTCTGATAAACCACCTGCAAATGAAAAAATAACATCATTATGATAAATTGTGAATAACAAAAGTACTTCTGTTTTTCTTGAAAAATAAAATATTAAGAGGTTATTTTATAATCTATACTTGTACAGTTTGAAAAATTGTGTTGAGAGGAATCTTGAAGGTAATTGACACTATGAGGATGAGAATTAATGAAAGTATCTCTGATGAAGATGACAAATAATTAATAATAGTAAAGTTGACAAAAATATACTTATTCACAATTGTTTTTAATGATAGATGTGAAAAGAAAAACTGTAAATAAGATTTTACAAATTATAATTTGTTAAATCTTAACAAAAACAAAATCATCAATTTTCTTTATCTGAATTGATTGTATATTCATATAACAGAAGTGGACCATTTATTTTATTTCATTAAATTTTGTGCTAGATTTTAAAAAGTAAACCTTTTTTTTAAACGTTCACTCATGGACACTCAAACTACAACTTTTTACCTTCACTTCCATAAACTATCATAGTAAGTAAAAAGGTACACAATGTTAGAATATATATATATTTTTTTTCATTGTTATAAATATAAAATTCAGGCAGGAAAAGCAAATTTAATTCAGAAAATATATTTATCACAAAGAAATATGGGTCTTAGCTCAAAAAAACATGACCCATATACTTTAACTTTTCCTTTTGAACAATATTACAACATATCCAAAAGCATAGAATGATTTACCAAGGAAAAAGCAGGTTGATTCTGTGAGAGTTGTAAGAAGCATGCTGGGTCCAACCTTCCCAAGGGTGCGTCCTACATGTTGTGCATAAGATTCATCAGGACGTCGACTTTCTCTTTGATGTGTTTGTACCATGATAAAAATGTTGTCAACTCCAACAGCAAGAACAAGGAAAGGTATTACCTGGAAGAAAATGTGGTGGAAATAAATTCTTACCCTAGATCTACTTTTTATTTAGTTCAGTCTTGAAATCTCTAACTAACTTTTTTCAAATTATTTCAGTCTTTCAGTATGGAAATTTTGTTGTTTTTTTTAAATTGAAATGTAGCCTGGAAGTTACCTCTATGACCAGTAATGTTGTTGCTACTCCAGAATATGCGAAGATGCCAAGAGCAGTTAGCACTGACAGCATTACTATGACAATTCCACTGAACCCTAGGGTAAGCTTACTGTCAATCTGTAATAAAACATGAAACATGTTTATTTTAGGTTTTATTAAAAACAAATGCATACTATTTAAAAGCAAGTTCAGAGAGTATATACTAGGATGTTTTATGCAAACCAGTCAAAAAGAAAAGAAAGGTTGTAAAACTAAATCAGAAAGCAGAAAAGTTATATTTTATTTATTTAATTGTAATATATTATTGTCAACTGGCCACACTTGTAAAAAATGTATTAATTTCACTTTGTTCTGAAGAGGTCAAATTTATTTTGACAAAACATCATCAAATAAATGATTATGATTCCATTTGAATGCTGATTTTCTATACTTCAATCCAAATGGTATTTTTATTCCCCTTTCAGTTAAATCAATCAGCAGCTATCACATGAAAAACACCAAGAGCAGAGACATTTGGCAGAATTTCTAGATGGGCAGTTCAACTCAGTTTAGAAGTCTAGGGAGAAGACTGTTTTGCAAATTCTACTATTGTGAATTGTGTTTCGATCTCAAAAACTCTATTGTTGTAAATCATGCATTTCTGAATGTAATACACATTTTAAAGAATAAAATAATATTGTTATTTCTTCAAATAAATATGTGCTAATAAATTGTTTATGTTTAATAAAATTAACACAAATTTATTTACCAGCAATCTTTTCAATGAAGAAACTCGACCAAGGGCAATAGTTATATAGACAAACATGACAAGGTAACTGATAACAATAGTCATTACTTCTGCTTCTGATACCCTTTTTAGTTCATCTTCAATTGATCTTTCTGAGGAAAAGGCAACTGACATAAATTCTGGTTTATCATTTTCAATCCAATTCTTCATAAATTCAATGTACCTAAAATAGAAAATTCACACACTTTATAAAATAATGCATTTTAATCATTTATAGGTAGAAAAGTCATTTTGCAATGTTTTATTCATGATTTTAAAACATGAATGTTGTAACTGTGATTTATTTTAAAAACTTTTTGAAACTGTGTTTAAAAATAAACATTCTACAAAGCTTGTTTGGCTCATAAACCTTCCACCACGAACATGCATACAGAATACTTAAATGACTTATTTACTACTTCTGATTCATTTGTCCATCATCATCATCATCATCATCATCATCGTCGTCCTCGTCATCATGAACTAACCAAAAAATAGATCTTTAAACCTATTTCTATTGGTTTATTACAGTTTGTTTTGATTTAAAATTATTTATTGTTGAAATATTTTCTATAGAAATGTTTCTGCTCTTCATACAAAATGTATATTGTTATTAATGAATAAATCTAGGTTATTGGGTTACTGTAAGTTTGAAAAACTTTATAAAATAAATTAAAGCAAATTTATTTTATCAATTTATTCACTTTTCTGTTTCATTAATTAATTAGTTTATTAAAAATTGTTTCGCAAAACATATTTAAAGAATTTGTTGCTTTCAGATTGAGTTTCAAGTTAACTCAAAACAGTATTACAATGTCCATTGATATTGTGCTTCTTATGATTTCTTATATTTATGTTAAATGCTATTAAAATTTAATTAGTAATTAGAATCTTAATCTAAAAACTTTTTTAATGATGTAATATCGCAGATATTCTGAAACAGAACCATGCCTAAGTGAAAAATGAAATAAAAAAAAAAAATTAGAAATAGAATAAGACTGACAACAAAACAAAAAGATACAAGGTGAGAAAAAGGCACCGAAAAACTGACAAATAAGATGAAGGCAATTATGAGGATGACAAGGCAGGGAGAAATAAGAATGATAAGATAACAAAGATGAACAATCTCAACAAAGGAATATATTTAGTGGAAATAATGAGAAAGAGAAGAAAGGAGATATATAACCAAAGGGTGATGAGATAATATCGTGCATTGTTAAAAGATAACGTATTATCTGTATCTATTGATTTTGATGAGAAAAAGAAAGTAAGCATACCAATGTTCATTTTGCAACTTTTTAGAAATTATATTCAAAGGCTTAATTTCTGGATAAATATGTTGAAATTGGAAGAAAAATACATACTGCTTTTCCCACTCTAATGCTGGTTCCTGTAATGTTTTGTTGACATGGTTTTTTACAAGAAATGTTAAAACTAGAGCATTTCCTCTTCGATATTCACTTGGGCCCTCTTGCAAAAATCCTCCCACCAGTAGAGCAGTCTCCAAATTTCCCCCATATGGTGCCAGACATTCAATGTCATAAGAATTTCTGTAACAAAATAATTTAAATTTTTTGGCATTTATTTTTACAAAATGTTTACGATCCATGAAATTAGGAAAGTTTGTGTAAATACAATGAAATATTTAATAACAGTATCATTTGAAAAAAGGAATAAATAAGATTGATCAAATTAAAAAATAGTATGGACTTCATTAATCAATATTATTGGGCTGAAAACCATCTCAGATTCACTAACTTTTGTCAAATGAAACATTGCAGATTTGACATTCAAACAGTAATATAATGGAGTCTTCAGATGTTAGGGGCTTTGCTATCTAATGTATTTGACACTCGAAAATAATAAAGGAAACAGTTTTTATTACACTCTGTAAAATCACATCATATGTGAAACTCTATAGATCAATGTTATGTGACATGTTACTTTTTAAACTGTTTTTTTGACATTTAAGAGGTAAATAAAATAAATTCAATAAGATAGAAAAGACAAATTATGTGTAGATAATAAACACCATAAAATGTAGACATGATTTGGTGATGACTAACAATATGATGAAAGAGCTTTAAAAATCTGAGAGATAAACTCACCTCAGATAATGAAAAGACAACAGATAATGGAATGTTAATAGAGTAAACATTTAATGGAGTCCCTACTGAATAGTGTACTTGAATAGAAAAAATTTCAGAATCTTTTGAATTGTGATTATCGTTAATACTTACTGAAAACAGGAATTCAAATGATAAAGATACTCGTCTCCATAACTATTAAAAACAGACAGTTTGTTTTCAAAAAACCCTCCAATAGCTTGTACAACACATTCATCTAAAGTGGCTTCTTCACCAGGCAGAGCCATAGGCGCAAAACATATTTTATTCAGAGCATAGGCGGTTCCTTGACCAATCTGCAACAATATATATAACAAAAAATGTATGTGCCATTTTATGGATGGAAAAACTATATTTTAACTAATGAGAACAATGATACATTTAATCAAATATGGATATTTGGTTAAATTGTTCTTAACTGAAATATTCATAGATAAATTTAAAACAATTTTATTCTGTTATAATGAAAGAACAATACCATCATTTGAAACAAAACTAAAATTTTTCTTTATCATCTACTCATCTTAAGCATCTCATTTCTTGTTTTCATCTTTTTTTGTACTAAACAAAGTTTTACCTGTGATATAGATTCTTGAAGCTCAATTGCTACTTGCAGAAATGTTTTATTAAATACGGGCCCAAAAATCACTTCTTCCCCAGAATCATTGTATACAATCTAGAAAGAAAAGAAAACAAAATTGTTTTACCTTTTTGTTTATTGTTCACTTAAAATTTTGTATTTGTGATGTTTAATTAAAATCTGTTTTAAATTAATTTAAACATATCCAAACTCAAATGTTCATTTACACTCAATAATACTGATATATTTCTAGTTGCACAAAATTAAATTTCAGAAAGAGGAATAATTCATGTTTTTGTGAAAAGATTTATACTTGTAGATGCTTTGGTTTTTTAGACTTCTTTCCTATTTACTCTTTTTCCAGCAATAAATGGTAGCTTATCATTCAAACTCTTGAAAACTTTCTAAAAAATAATTTTGATTATATTGGTACTTATCATTAAGAATCTCTTATTGCTTGTCATTTAGCTTGTCATCATTAGGAACCTGTTGGTGCTTGTTACTGAAGAATGAGAATTTAGTGGGTTAGGGATTAAAAGATGGGAATGATTTTTATAATTACAAAACATTACTATTAGCAGAGTTAGGCAAAAATGTCAAAAGAAGCTGCAGTTGATGGAAAGGGATTTGAGGGGATCAATAGCATCAAATTTAAAATGAATCTAAACTTCACTTTTAACTTTGGAGGTGTTTTTCTAAGGATACTAATTGAAAATTTCTTCCAGACAGGGATGTTCAAGTCACGAAGGTGGGGAGTGATGAATTAACAAGTGAAACAAAGAGACTCTTTGCTAACGCAACAAGGTTTGAAAAAAATTCTCGTTGGAAAGTTTTCTTTTCCAATTTCCTTGATTTGATCATTTCAGGGAGAGGAGATCATAAACAAAGCACCAAGAAATGTCTTCACTGTGTCCCTGACAGAAACAAATTAAGATTTTTCTGGCAAAGGATATCAAATTCTTTAAGGGGTGGTTGATCCTTGGCATTCACCAGTCAATTCAAACTCAGGAAAATCAAGTCAAAATGATGCAAATATGTTCCTATGAATGTAACTAAAAATGCCTTGTTAATTAGAAAATAAAGTGTATAAAAGATTATCTCTCCCACACAGTGTCAAATTGATCTTATTTTCAATTACGCCCAAAGTGTTTGAAAATCTCTGGATTTTTACTTTCTCGTATACGTAAGTATATAGAATAGGAAGTTATGTAATGCTGTTGAAAATCAATTCGAGATTTTGATGGAAATACACGTTTTAGGGTCTCCTGATATCGAAAAAGTGTTTTTATCAAAACATCTGTCTGTTTCTATCTGTCTGTCTGTTTGTATGTCATCTATCTGTCCGTCCATCAGTCCAGTATCTGTGAACACTACTAGTGCCCAAAACCATATGTAAGATTTTTTCCAAATTGAAGAAACCCCTATTCATCTGGCTTGAGACGAATCTTTGAGATTTTGAAAAAAAAATCTTTACAATTTAGGGGTACATTACATAAAGCCCCCTGAGCATTTTCTAAATTTTCTCAAAAGCAGCTCCAAATTTGTTCTTTAAATTGTAAGAATAGAGTAAAGTTAACTAATGGCTAACTGATTTTCCAAAATTTTTAAAAGTATGATTTTTTTTCAATGTATTCCTACAACTATAAAATTTAAGATAGAGATTTTTACTTTACATGAAATTTGTTCTTCATAGTGAGTTCTTTCATTAAGGTCATGTATATTTTTTGAAAATTTTAGTAGTTTTACATGATACTGAGTGCAATTTATTAAGTTTTAAAAAATTACAAAAATAAGAGTTTCCCAAAAAGGCTCCAATTTCTTTTTTGAAATTTTTGATAGGGATAATTCTAAATGTACTCTAAAAGATGATATAAACGGCATATTGCTTTATTCTTTGTTTTATCAAAAACAACAAAAGTGTAATTTTTTGACATGCCTCTGTTGTTGTTAATATTTATATTAGCGGTAATTTGTTCACATTATTGAATTTATGAGTACATGTGCTTTAAATAATGTCATATTAAGTTTCTTGAAAACTCTTAGAGTTTTCTAATGAAACTAGCTCAAAAATTGCATTTCCAAACATTTCGAATAGATAGGGGTAGTTGCACTCTTTAATATGACATAAAGTTAATTTCGATGAATTTTTTTGTTTTTCAAAAATTACACAAATGTAAATTTTTGAAAGATCTCTCATGCCGTTGATATGCACATTTCCAGCAATTTGTGAACACTATTGCATTTGTGATTTAAAGTATTTAAAATGACTTCAAATTAATATTTTTGATAACTCAAACATTTTCTGTGAAAAAGAGGTTCAATTTTCAAATTTACAGTAGCATTTAAATGACAGTTCTTTAAAAACAGCTCCAAATTTTTCAAAGAAAATTGTGTTGAGGTTTTACTGTTCTTTAATAATTTTAAAATAATATTTTTGTTCTACAATTAGTAAACCAAAAAATTAGGAAAATGTCAAAATATGTCCTTTGGAAAGTGATAGATGGCAGTAGATGGCATATGTGGCCAGTTCTAATAGTGAACCGAGACCAGAAATAGAAAATGAATACGGGAAAGTCTGTGCCATTCTGTAGCACTGCTAGTTTAAATTGATACAGCAGCAACTGATAAAAGCAGGAACAACAGAAGATTAGTCCTCTAACCAGTTATTCTAAACCTGCCAAAGCATATTGTTTATGGATGTAAGACAACTAGTAGTCCGAATAATAGTATAAAGAGTTGTAAAATTTCTTGCGATTTCTACAGAGAAAAATAAGAAAAATGAATTTAACAGAAAGTCTATGAATAAACAAAATGACACAAAGAAAAGTAATGAGTGTACAATGTACTATTTATTTTTGTAAAACTTAGAAGGAGATTAATCAGGAGTCAACAACTGTCAAAAACACAATTTACAAAAGCAATTCAAGAAATAGAATCAGAATATCTTGTAGTAAAAAAGAAATGACTTAATTAATTAATCCAACTGTGCATAGAACACGAAGAGCATCATGGAATTCATTTAAAACTGAAATGAAATCAGAGAAGAATATCAAAGCATACAGGAAAACTGATGTACAAGAGAACATAAATCTCAATCATCTTAATGCAATAGATGAAAGTATAACTAAAAAAGTTAGAAGAACATGTAAATGAAATAAATATATTGGGTATATCAGAACTTACAGTTCAAAACGCTTTTAATAGACTTAAGACCACAAGACAAACAAATAGAAAAATTATGGAAAATGGTGAAAGAATCAAAAAGTCAAACAAGCAAAGAATGAAGAAAACCTAAAGAAGAATGCCTAAGAACAGTGTAAGGTCTCAAATAATACATAAGAATGTAGAATAATGAAAATTTAAATGAACCATTCTTGAAGGATGCTAATGTTAAAACGAGTATTCTTTGAATACCGGCAGTCAACAATGACATGTCTAGTAAATATATGTAGAATTATTAATCGTGAATTATGGTTCAGTTTATCCTGATGTGCAATGAACTACATTATTTTTGACTCCGTAAATATTATGTCATAATTTTTACCAGTTTCCTCTGCTTTGTGTGAACTTAATAAATATCAAATGTGTTTAAATTATGAAAATTATCAAAAAGGAGAAAATTATTAGGGAAATTAACCATTAGGAAATTAATTACTGGCATTGGAAGTGCTTTAGCATTGATGGATGGGGGCAGAAGAATAAAGATAAAATGCTACAAAGAGCTTAAATACAGTAAATGTTGAAATGAATTTATAATTTTTCCAAAGAGAATTGACAAAATCCATGTGCTGGGGATGGTCAGATACTTGGAATAGGCCCTTCTTCAAGAAAAACAATTGAATTGATAGTGGTTGACTAAGATATTGTGATAAAAATCTTGGGATAATGAATGATAAATTCATCATAAATGAGGAAAGGAAAAACAAACTTTAGGTACTGGAAATATAACACATATTGCACCCTCATTAATCTGTATTGCAAAAAGAATTGAAGAAACAGAAGAAAACCCATACGTACATCTTCCATGTCCTCTGCTTTCAGGTAAATCTGTTCTGTTCTATAAAATGGAGTAAATCTGCTGTCAAAGTAATCTTTCTCTATTCTTGACTGACTGTCAGGAGATGCCCATAGCTCAATAGGATCAGTTGTAATCTCCATTTGAGTAGCTCCAAACATGGTGCCTATTATAATCCATGGCATAATTCCGAGGACAACTGCAGGACTTGTTGCAAAGACTAGAAATTTCCATTAAAAAAAATTCAAAATCAATATTAGAAACTTTGGTTGTGGTGCAGTTTATTTCTTATTTATTTTATGAAAACTATTAGTTAGAAATAGAATTACATAGAAATTGTATGTAATTATAAATACTGTTAACAAGAACATGTTTTGGATCAATTTTATTCTATTAATCTTTAAATAAAAAACATAAAAAAGTAAATAAAAAAAACTAGATTGTGGTTGCCAAAAGGAAGAAAAATAATAAAGAAAATTATAACCTCTCAAAATCAGCATCAATGGTGAAGCACTATGGAAAAGAGCACAACTTGCTTCCCAAGAGAACTATGAATGATGAATACTTACACATTACATTAAAGTTTAAGAAAATTCTTTAAATATTTTTTAATCATAGAATAAGTTTAATCAGAAAAACAGTTAAATTTGTTTTTGACCTCACCCAATTTTTCATTGTATTGTCTTCCAAACCTTTGTGTCTCTCATTTTAGTTGTCATTTAACATATTTATTGTATGAGTGACTAAGAAATTTGTTATTGTTTGTAAGGAATTGGAATTATTAAATAAAACTTTCATAGAACTTACCAGTTCCCCATACAGTGAAACACTTGATCAACATCCTATCAAAGTGATGACCAAGGGAACATAAAAAGCAAGTCATGCTGGATGGTGAAGAATCTGAATTTTGAAACAATAAAAAAATGAAATTAAAAATCAAGTACTAACTTATTATATAATTTGTGACACAGGGAAAACATGTGATTTCTCAGTTCAGTTTAAGATGAGCATCATTTAAATAAATTCAGAATAAACTGGATAGTACAGAATAAACATGATAGTATTTGAAATGTAGCTAAATATACAATTTACACAAAATAATTTAGAATAAAAAAAACTTATATACATATCGATAGGGCAAAAGAAAGAACTAATCCTATTGTTTTCAGTGACAAATGCCTTTTCCATCATGTTACTGTTTATGTAGTTTATCACCCAATTAATGGTTTGTTATTAATTTATCTAGTGTTCAGGTCTGTTGAAAGTGTTTTCATCCTGAGGAAGCCCTTTTTTGATACAATACATGTACAAAGTAAGTTAGGTCGAGTACAAAGTAAGCTAGATAGTTAGGTCGAGTTCTATTGCTGTCTGGATGTGAATTTTAGCGACCGGCTGCTCAGATCGGTAGTTTTTTGTAGTTTCTCGGATCAATACCAGGCGAATACCGGAGTAGTACCCTAACAAACGGGCCACGGATCCCGCGCGATATTTCCTGTCCTACCCCTTACTTACACACACACACACACATTACCACACACGAAGAAAGACCGGTCGGGAGCTTAGATCTTTTCCCAGCTGAGGCGGTGCCCCGTTGATGAGAGATACCTAGTCGAGGAAAACCCTGCTAGGCGAGGTAGGACAGCCCCCGGATCTCACCATCCAGCGGGGGAAGATCACATCCACCTCCCGAGCAAAAACATGCACTACACTTACGGTTCAAATGACCTTAGCAATTGACGCGCTCGGAAACCATAATCAATCAGTCAATCAATCTGGCAGTTGGCTGGCGGATTTCTGATGGTTGCAGGATCACGCGCAATTTATGACTCTTGTAAAATGCACCCCGATTCCGTCATTTCACAGACTTGCGTTTTTATTGTTTAGACTACAAAATGGAACTTTATTCTTCGGTAGTACGTAGAAGTATATTCAGAGCATCGAGTATATTCAGAGCATAACCTTCTGAATGTTGTAGAAAAATACACATCGTCGAAAAAATGCTGAGCTATTACGAAGCGTTTTTCAGCCAACAGACGCCCGTCCATTGAATTGAGGAGAAGGCTGTGGTAATTCATTTCACCAAAAATGACTCTCCGTTTGTACAAGGCAGAGGCGTTTCATTACACCGACGACTGACAGGGGTCGCGACTGAACACACGGACGGTAGCAAAGGAAAAGAAACTTGCAGTTCCTCGCCGCGCTACCGGCGACAAATACGTAAGCCGTTCACAAGCGAAGTTGACTAACAACAAAAATTTTCAGTATGAACAGTTAATTTTTTTTAAGTCTATAGTTTTTGTAGCATATTTCGAATTAACTTATTTATTTTTGTACAATTAAGGGTATGTTTTCAGCAGTTTATTAATGTATTTTAAAAAACTGAGTGTCTCTCTCCCCCCTCCAAAATACACTTTAATGGAGTTAGTCACATAGCGAACTGAAATATTGAGACGAATTCTGAATCGTATTGACATAATATTCTGAATGGTTCTAAACAAGTTATTTTATTAAACAAATACGCCCACAACAAAACATTTTTCTAGAAAAAGTTACCAGTATTATTGTTAGTAAATAAACAATACTTAAAATAAAAATTGCCTGAAATACAAATAAAAATGTGTTCATTGCCTCTATTATGTGTAAGTGATGCAGTCGTCATCTTTGGCAGGTTCTTCTTGAAGGATACCTCTTGCAGTCTTCATGCTTTTATAGTAATGGTGATGAATAGGAGGCATAAACTTCAAGAGGACTTTTACATGCTTCTTTTTGCCATGGAGATAGGTCTTGATGTGCTATAAAGAAGATCTTGTGGACATTAGCTAGACTTTCTAAAAGACGCCTGTTTCAAGTTTTCTTTTGGATATTAATTTTTCCAAATGTCATTTTTGGCAAGAATGTAGTTTTATATTTGATAACAAATAGTTCAACCTTCTCATCCAGATCCTTATCATTGTCAGCCAGTTAATTGGTTCACCTTCAACACATTTTTTTTCCTATTGATGATACATTTTTCTAAGTTTTCTGTCGAATGGAACTCTTTATGGTTCATTTCGGTGAGGAATTACTTGTTTATTTTCCTACGGCCAAGAATAATATCATACCAATCCCTCAGTGAAAAGATGTGGCTACTAGATTTTGCTTCTTTTTCAATAAAGGACAAATCAGAATCATTCGAAAGATAACTGTGCGGTACAATGAACTTAAAGTCATTAGTTTCAGTGATACCACTCTGATTTTGGAGATATTTCGTAAGAGAGAGAACGGTTTATTGCGATTTTGATCGCCGCAGGAGTCAGAGTACATGGAGTACATGACTTTAAGTTTGGCATTGTTGATATTTCTTTATTGAAATAAGGAAGTAAACATAAGAAATATCACATACACGAATACTTTAAAGTTGAAAAACACAAAACAGTTCAGTTCAGTTCAAATCATTTCAGTTAAACATCGGAGTTAATCACCCTGGCCACAGATGATAAAATGTTAATTTGCCAGAGCAGTTAGCGTATTCTAGCGGCAAACCATTTAAATGTGGAGTTCGTCGTCTTGGTCGCTGACAAATAGTTACTTGTGGAACACAACCGATCTATAATTCACAATTTAAAAAAATGGAATTAGATTTGCTTCAGAACGCCTCAAATACTCTTCCACTTTGCGAATGCTTTTATATTTTCAAGAGCAGTACGGCGTAATGGGTGGGGGGGGGGCGCTTCTCCTGGAATGTATGCGAGTTCGCGTGTACGCCTTTGACGTGAGCAGTTGCAAATCTTGTATAACTCCCAATTCAGCGTTCGGTATCGGATTTCAAAATATTTATTGACGTCGTTGTTTACGGTCATCACAAATCGTGTTTTAATTTGGTGAGGATAAGACTGGAATATAAGCCAGCTCGATGCTTGGAACTTAAATCGAATATTGCGATTTGTTTTACACAAGTGTCCATTCTGGAAACTCTCATGATTTACTAAGAAGCGAACAATCGCCTAATGAAATACATACTACTCCAAAACAGTATGGGAAAGAGATTTTGGAGGCAAATCTTTTATCAAGACCTAAGCATTAGAAACAATTTTTTTTTCTGTCAGGAGAATGGTAACGCGCCACTTTTAATACAGTCGACTCCGGTTACAGTGAAGTCAGATATAGTGAACTTAAGTCACTGGTCCCGTTTCACTTACATTGCAAATAAGCACAAGAAGATTCGGTTATAGTGAACTCTGAAACTCGACTATAGTGAATGTAGGAAATACTATGACCTGGAAATGAATTCCCTCCTGAAAAAATGGCCTCAATACCACAAATTCTAATATTAGGCAGCTTAGAAAAAATATCGTCGGTGAAAGGTCATAAAGAAGTCTCCTCTGAGGTGGAGGTAGCGCACATATTTTATGTTGTATCATTAGTCAAATATCGTCAAACCAACATGCTTATGACCATGTTTGTCTAAGCTGACGAAGACGCTGCGTTTGAAAGAGAATATCATTATTTCAAATTATATCAATCTAATTGATTTTGAAAAAAAATCGAGCCAATTTGAATTGGTGAAAGGAGTATAAGTAATAATCAGCTATTTATAATATTGTTTTATTGATTCATTGTTTATAGGTTGTTGTAATCTGTGACGTAATACATTTTTTTTGTTTGTGTTACATGGCTGACGAAAAATACCTCGGCCGCACGAGGACGTTCTGTGTATAGAAACTTAATTAAACAATTTTAACCACTTTTATGTATACTGGTTGGTAGTTGTGGAAAATTAATTGCACGCATGCAATTAATATAGAGACAACAACGATTTTTCATAGAATTAACGAACATATTTAATTAACTAAAATAAAAAATATTGAAAGATATACTTTTGATACATGTCAATAAAACTTATTGCATAAATAACTATGAAAAGGCTGAAAAAAATATTTTTATAATATATTATCATCGTACCTGACTTAAAACACCTTGCGACGAGCACTCCAATTGTTATTCCAAGAGCTAGTAAGGCGAATACGATAGCCATGACGACCGCCACTCCGTCAGTGCCGTTGATAGTGAAGGGAGGCTTCTCTTCCTCCAACTCGTACGGCAAGCACACATTTTTACAATCCATGCAGCTGCATTGCTCATCACCCTGAAGACAGTAGAACCGCTTAGAATTAAACACTGGAAGCATCGAAGGTTATCAAGAGCTTTAACTTTCTCGTATACGTAGGTACGAGTATGTAGTAGAATAATATAAAGAGTAGAGAAAGTTAAGTGATGCCGCGGAAAATACATTTCGAGATTTTAACAGGATGCATCACGTTTTGGTATACGAAACGTGTATTTCTGTAACCGAAAATGTGACTTTTTTTTTGTAAAATGTCCATCCGTCCGTATGTGAACATTAGCCGCCGAATTATTCGTGGCATTTTTTTCAAAATTAATATTCTCCAATCGACCTGGTCCGACTCAAGGTCATACAATTTGCCCTGGCCCTGGGACATTTTCAACGTTCTTAAAAATTGCTCCAAATTTCTCAAAGAAAATTGCTTATCGAAGTTTTTGCAGCTATGGTCTAACGGTTTTGCTGCAACTTACAAAAAAATAAAATGCTCATCTGAATGAGTGAAAAGCAGAACGGTAAGTGACTTTTATAAATTCTGATTTATTTCACCATTAAAACCACGTCATTTTAATTGTTCTTTAAAACCATGAAAATACATTCCCACTGAAATATAGCTTAAAATAAACACGTTTTTCTCAGAATTTATAAAATGTCACTTTAACGGTTCTGGTTTTTACCCATTAACGTAACCAACGGTTGGCGCTTTGGACCGCTCTAGTAGTATAATTTCGCAACATAATAATGATTCAGCAATAAAAGTTGCGAACACATGCTACCACTAGCTCCAACAATGGCGCTAGGCGAAAGGGCGAGTCGACAATGAGAGTGTGAAACGGGGGAATTTAATAAAGGCATAATTAAAAATGTGGTTTTCGACCCAACGTCTTTCTATACGTCTACCTGCCTGTCTGTCACCGTACACAAGATTTTCACACAATTTTATACTCTCCGATCTATCTGGATGTCACAACCCCTTGTATTTGATAATAGAATTTTAACTGTTGGAGGGCTCTTTATATTAAGCTCCAACGACATTCTGGAAATTTTCTTAAAAATAGCTCCAAATTCTTTTTTTAAAGGTTTTGCTTGAAGTAAGCAAAACTTTGCAAAAGTTAGCGCTGGTCTTATTTCCGTGGAACAATTAAACCATAACCTCAAAATACAAAAGCTAGTACTTTGCCTCCGGCTTTAGAGACAGTCTCAGGAATTGATGATGGCTATCATTTAAGACACTGCCTGCCCAGCCTATGTACTACTAACATACTCGCGCCCTAACAAATTTTGTTCGTGTTAGAATCACTTTCGAAAGTTCAACTAATATTATGATATTAAGAAACAGCTACAAAAATATGAGAAAGAATGTGCTGTTGTAGCGACACTTGTTATAAACATCAAGGTTCAAAGAATTTTGTAATAAAATAATTGCGACTTACTTCATCCCACACCTGATCGCAGGTGAAATAGGGCACATCCTCTGGAGTATAGTCTGCATTTTCTTCAGGAAAATAGTTAATTGGAAATGGCACAAGAGGAGTGTTTTCATGGCCCATGAATGAGAACCACCTGAAGTTTAAATATGAAAAAGACTTATAAATTTACATTGTATGCGATGAACAATAATGACTAAAGGAGGAAAAATATATATTAAAATAATTAGTTTGAACGACCAATTTTTAGTAACTGGCACAAGTTACGTATTTAAATCATAATACTTTACATTAGATATTTTTGGTAATGTATTTGGTACATTTTTCAAGAGTTTTGTATTTTGTTGTGTAGTAAATAATTAAAAAGAACGATTTGAACACCCGTATGAACTGAGTTATTACAAACGCATCTGATGCTTACTTCTACGTAATGACGTCGTCAATATGGATGTTTTAATAATATTGGTCGTTCAAACTAATTGCTGTAAGTATTAAAACAGACGTAGAGTACAATATTTAATTTGAAAACGAAAACAAAAATCAACATAAAATACTTATTTACGTATTGTTTATAAGAGCGAGCAGAATGTAAAATAAACACGATCTGAATTTAATACAACTAGAGGGAATAGAGAAATAAAAAAAAAACATTATTAGAAAAATATTCTAAAAATTCTATCAGTAAGTCATGTTTTAAATTTTCTTTATCTTTTTGTAGATTGGGACTTACTACTAATAATACTTGTAATTGTATGAATCATATGTTATGATGGCAAGTGGATTCTGCAGAGCGAAAACTGTAGTGGTAATTGACTAACGTTAATCTCTCCCAGTTGTTGAGTTTTCTGCCCATCGTTTGTACTTTCACAGTCCCGGAACAAATGCGCCAAGCTTTCCCATTGTTTCTTTCGCCCCCTAAAGAAGCTGATGCAAATCACAAGTAATGGAAGCCGGCAGTGACTTGGCAACGTTCTCACGGTATTTCTTCTTCTGTATGTACTTAATCGTTGAAATCATATAGAAAAAGTCAAGGAAAGATAAGAGGACATTGATTGCTAGTGGCGTAATCCTTGGAGAGGAGGAAATACGTTCATGATTTGAAAATTAAAAACAACAACAAATTAGATTACCATGCGATAAATTGTGATGGATACAGGAAATGATATGATATATATATATATATATTATATATATATATATATATTATATTAATAAATAATATATATAATATAATATATATAATTATTATAATATATTCATATACTGTATTTCCCTTATCCCATCCACAATTTATATATATATATATATATATATATATATATATATATATAAAAATATATTTGTTAATAAGTACATATAAAAATATGAATAAAATATAAGAAAAAATATCTATCTATTATGTTTTCTCGTGTCGTCCGTCAGCGCACATTGTATGATTCGCTTGCTGTTCTGCCCAGGTCTGACCCTTGCCAGTCGGGATGTGATATGACATCGCCCATTGCGGATCATCTGGTTGAAAGAGACTCCGAAAGACGGCAGTTCACGGGAGGAGATCCTCTCCCCCTGTCGTATAGTAGTTCCATTAAAAAACTTGTCCTCTTCTGGGTGCAGGGGCGTAGAGAGTAGTGAGAGTTTAACACACGGAAGAAGGAAGCCTGAAAATTCCTCCCCAGAGAGTGTTGAGTTGATTTCGATCTTTTCGTGTTGCTTAAAACTCGATTAACCTAAATTATTCTCTCTTAATTAACTCAACTCAGTTATTTTTCTTTTCCTTCTCAAACATCAACGCAAGTATTATTCGCGCAAGATTTCTTGATACACGATCTCCCTAGTCCTCATCCAGCGCTGAATAGCACGGCACGTTGAGTAACTTAGATTCGACTCGAAATGGCACGTACCAATTTACAATGCTGGCAACAACCACCTCGTACTTTCAAAACTATCGTGGCATTTCCCATCGCAAGCTTTGGCGCGTTAAGTTCATGCCCACAATTGGTACGCCCTTTTGAGCCGTGTCGTAACCAGAGCCATCCTTTCCCAGCTACTCCGCTGTGGAATATCAAGAAAACTTGCGCGTATAGTACTTTATTTGGTAATTACACTCAGAAGAATAAAATTGTAATGTAAGACGTTCCTCCGTTCCCTCCCCTGGGAAACTGGCTTTGTGAGAGGCATTGGGAGGCCACGACCAAAATTGACGCTTTTTTATCTCATTTCGATGGATTGCGCTTCATTTGTGGCGGAGGGTGGGCGAGAGGGTGTTTCAGAGGTGCCTGCAGTACCCGTCTCAGAATAAATTTACACAGTTGTAGTGCTTGTAGAGGAGTCGAAAATTATTACTTTTTTCGATTGAACATAGAGTGGGAAATTGTGTTTAACGAAGTTTTACATGTATTCTTTCCCCTGGATTTTTATTAAACTTCGTATATACAAATGTTTGTCAGATCAATTAAATTTCATGTATCTGCTGAACATCTGAGTGTACTGGGTTGCCTAAAAATCAGGGACCAATGCCACATGAATAAATGCATATAACTCTTTTATTTGCAATTCCCCTCCATAAGTTCATTTGCAAAAAGTGTTCATTTTCTACCCTTCTCCCTGCCATAGCAGTTTGTAACATTTGTTCTGAGACACATGTATGTCCATGTCTCAGAAATTTTGAGCACCATTCGTAAGCAGAGGAGGAGACAGAAAGTTTTCCAGTAGGGACCTTTTAATTCGACCCTCCGTAAATAGTTTTGAAGTATTCGTTTAAAAATGTTTGCTTCAAATTGACAACAATATTTATAAATATTGAGAATACTCCTTTGACGTAATAAATCGATAAGTGGTAATTATATCAATAAATTGAATAAAATTACAAAAACAAAAATGCTTTGGAGCTGACGTCGAGGCCCCCATGGGCCGCGTTCGTGGATTAAACATTGCGATCCTCTGGAATGACAAGATCCCAACTAACATTCCAGTAATTTCGAGAAAATTACTGTAATTTCATTATTTTATTATTCAGTCATCTCTCCTCCTACAGGAATGATTTTACTCTATCTATCTAACCACAGATTGCAGCACGGGTATGTTCTACTTGCAGCAGTGTTTGATAGAACCTTAACACAAAAACAACTCATTTTCCTGAATTTTGTCATTCCAAAGGTTCGATTCTCTAAAAGAAACCGACGGCACACCGTCATAATAAAATATTTCAGGCGACGCAGAGTCTGTGGCGCTTGGAGACCGTTAAAAGGTCTCTCCAGTGTGTAGACAAAACGTGTTATGAATTTATAGCTACCTCTGAATTTAAGGGTGAGGTGTGAGTGATTGGTAATTATTGGCGGTTTCTATTAAGCACTGCGCCGGAAAACGAAATATGCTCATGTCCGAAAATTCATTTGTTGAGGTAGAGTGAGACATGTAACAAAATGTTGAAGAACTATTGGCCTTTAGCAGCAAAGCACACTCAATACTGGGCGACATTTGAAAAATTCTCATAAATCAATTAGATTGATGCAATAAAATGAAAAGAAATGAAAGCTTATAAGATAGTTTTCTCAGAGCCGTTACAGTAATTCAGAGCGAGGACAATGTTTTCTTTTTTTTTATTTTCTCGAATACTATTATGAAGTACACTTTGTAGAGTAATAGAGTGGACACAAAGACACTCGGTTCTGATCGTTCTCGGCCATAATCCACCGCGCCTAGATCGCTATGACTGAAAACGTTAGTTCCACCATGCCATTATCGACAACAACGCACTAAGCCCGTTATATTGATTGATGTTTCCGGACGCGTCAAGCGCTAAGGTTATCAGTCCCATAAGTGTAGTGCATGTTTTAACAGGGAGTGGCGTTGGCCTTCTGGATGGAGAGATTCGGAGCCGACCTACTCGTCGGATTGCGAGTTTTTCACCATCCAGATATCTCCCACTAGCGTGGCACGGCCCAGCCGCGACAAGTTTTAGAATACCCGATTGGTCTTCCAATGGTAGTGTAGTGCATGTAAGTGTAAAGTGTCGTAAATAGTGACGGTAGAACAAGATGGAGGTAGGAAAGATCGCGCGTGATCCATGATCCGTTTGTTAAGATACTGTTCCGGCATTCGCCTATTATTGATCGGGGAAACCACAAAAAACTATCATACTAGAGAGGTCGGGAGTTAGAATTCTCCTGCAGACTGCGTCTGAATGCGATCTAAGTGGTGTCAAAAATCCTGCTACCGTCCAGTCTTAAACCCTACGACCTCCCCGTTAGAGGAACAGCAGTGACACCAGCAGGCCACCGAAGCCAGGAAAGCCTATTGTAGGCGTGTGGCCTACACGTCAGCGGATGAAACGCTTTCACTCAAGCGTTTCTTTTAGATCGTAAACCTATCAATTATTCCTATTTCAAAGGAATGGACAACTAAAATACAAAATAGAATCGCATGCCCTTCCACGACAAAAACTCAAGAAAGATAAAAATGTATCGCATAAGATACGCAATTACATTTTATAATATTTGCAATTGTTATTATAAACAAATCATTTGAAATATTTCAGCATTGCGTACTCCTTAACACATCAGCCATTAAGCACGTGATTCCTGCATTTTCATTATCAACAATATATCGTTAACAACATTAACAACAGTAACAATATATCAACTACACGTTTATCGTAACTTCAGTTTGACATACCGAAAAATTGGTAAAAGTAAATACGTTTTCTGTCTTTCCGTCTGTAGGCAACACTAGAGCCTAAATCCTTTAAACGACTTTCTCCACAAATGATGTTTCCCTGTCAATTTACCGATCTCGAAGTCCTCAAGCCGAAAGAATATTTTGTTTTTTGGGACACTTCCATTAGGCTCTCAACGATCTTTTTAATTAAAAAAATTGGCTCCAATATTGTTCTTTACATTTTCCCTTGAATATTGAATGTCACTGTATGAAAAATAATTATCCATATGTAGTTTAGTAGTTTAGTTACTATTTAAAAAAAATGGAAAGTTCTTTGCATTCCTTTATAAATATCAAAACGTTAACTTACATAATTTTAAAACAAACATTTGTTTACACATCCACTTACTTGACGTAATCGCATTTGGCAGCTTCGTAGTTGCCGCACATCATATCCAATGCTTGATGTCCGGTGGAGGGCATTTGAACGTTGATGCAGGAATTGAATGTTCCTTCCATGTAATTTTGTGTGAGAAATATGTCTATCGCTGTGACATATGGACCTGAAAATGTACATTAAATGTAATTAAAAAAGGTATTGTACCATGTAATATGTATAATTTGTATTGTAACTTGAGTAAAATATATATTTTTAGTAACAATTGAAACTTTATTTCATTTTATGTTGATGATGAATTTTTTCTTAATATTTATTTTCTGTAGATTGTAAAATTTAAATATAATTATACTGTAATAATATACTCATATTTTGCACACTTATCTGTTTCTCGTCTCTGTACAAAATATCACTTTATACTTTTTAAGAGATGTTTATGAGGACTTCTTAAAATCAAACAAAACAATACGAGTTACAAATTAATGTTTCATTATCATTAGTGATTGTGTTATTTTTGTTTTTATATTTACGCCTATAATCTACACAATTGATAAAATATTAATAGGATGTTAATGATTATGAAAGCCATGATTATTTCTCAGGCGAGAGAGTTGACTACCGTTTTCAGACTTACGGCCAACAGAGCAGGCATTTGCCTATATCTCCAATTATTAAAGCGAGAGAGTGATGAAGATGAGTGAATTCAAAATCATAATTAGTGTATTACGTTATTTTAAACACCTTTTAAGAAAATGTATTTGTGTATAATGGCAAATAATTTTACTCTGGAGGTGAAGTTGTGGCAGAATTGCCACTGATTCACAGGTTAAAAACGGCGACGCTATGTGCAGCACTTTACCATGTTTTGGCACGACGTGTAACACTCACTATACCCCATGTGTCCCCGCTTTTTATTCTCTGCCCCTGTGCGAACTTTAATATCACGATAGCTTTATAATGGAAAATAATATTCCACAAGAAGTATCGTTTGTAATCGCATGACTTGTATCGTGTACGGTAAAAGTTTCGCACTCACGGTAACTGAAATTATTTCGTAAATATGACAGATTTTACAGCTAATTCCCATTATGCCGATGGGAACCTCCAAAGTTGTGGCGTGGAATTGTGCGTTAGCAACACATGCAACAGTGCCGACACTGTTCAGAACTACTTCCATTTTTCACAGTTTGAAAACGAAACGTCATGGAAAAACAACATACCCTCATAAAGACACTTTACCGAAACACAAGCAGGGCGCGGGGTTATCTCATATCGTTGTGCAGTATAAACGGTTTAACTTGTTTTACGAAAGCTGGCGTTGAGAGTGAAGACACGCAGAAACACGCGTATCACACTTGCGTACACACCTCCATAATACAAAGGCGACACCCATGGAACAAATGGGATTCACCGAAAAAGTGTCCACGAATCACCAACCACTCAAAATCACTGAAAACATCCATACGGCATTTCAAAAACACGATCACACAATAACAAGCTTTCTTGACATTTCTCAGGCCTTTGATGAAACATGGCTCAGCTTTCAACTACAAAATACAAAAAATAGGCACTCCACTTTATCTTACTCAAATAATTTCCAGCTTCCTCAACAATAGAATGTTTGCAGTTACACTCGATAGCCATCATTCTCCTCCAAAAGCAGTCAAGGCAAGCCCTCCCCATGGCTCCCCGTTATCTCCCGCTCTTTATAACTTGTACGAACGTAGCCAACCTACCAAAACATAGCAATATAAAAACCGCCCAATTTGCAGATGACACGGCTATATATTGATCATGACCCACCATAAACTCAATAAAAATCAATATGCAGTTAAACCTACACCAAATAGATAGATGGGCAGCCAAAAATAAAATTAAAATCAACCCGTTCAAAACTGAGGCCAAAATATTTTCCTTAAGACCTTATATCTCCCCACCTCCTTACAATTGAAGAACCTGTACAATGACACCGTCATAACAAACCCATAAAATACCTAGGCCTATTCTTAGATACCCGACTCAGTTGGAAAAATCACATCGGCAATAAAGTAATGCAAACAAAAATTTAATTACACCAACTAATAAATATATCTGCTAAATTACCGTACAATATCGCCTTACTGATTTATAAAACTATCATTCGACCACTACTTTTATATGCATACCCAGTATGGATCAGCGCACAAATTGAATACCAAAACACTCCAAATAGTCCAAAATCAGTTCCTCCGCACCATCACAAATGCACCATGGTTCATCTCCAATTCGCAACTTCGTAAAGAATTCCAGTTAGAACCGATCACAAACCACATTATTTTTTTATCCACCCACTTCTTCCTCAACATCTCAAACATAGCCAATCTAACCCCTCTATGACTCTCCCAAAACCCAAACCACAGAACTCGCATCAAAAACATATTTCCGTTTCATACATTCTTCAATAAATTTTCAGATCTCGTTCCAATGTAGAGTTATCATATAAATATATATCTAGCACCCTTGTAGTAATGTAAGATGTTTTTAAGATTAAGTAGTAAGTTTATAGAAAGAAAGAAAAAAGAAAGAAAGAAAGAAAGAAAGAAGAGAAAGAAAGAAAGAGGGAAAGAAGGAAAGAAGGAAAGAAGGAAAGAAGGAAAGAAGAAGAGGAAAGAAGGCCAAGAAGGAAGAAGGAAAGAAAGAGCAAAAGAAGGAAAGAAGAAAGAAAGAAGAAAAAAAGAAGAGAAGGAAAAGAAAGAATGAAAGAAAAAGAAGGAAGAGGAAGAAGAAGAAAGAGAAAGAAAGGAAAGAAAGAAAGAAAAAAGAAAGAGAAAGAAAGAAGAAAGAAAAAAGAAAGAAAGAGAGAGAAAGAAAGAAGACGAAAGAAAGAAAAAAGAAAGAAAAAGAAAGAAAGAAAGAAAAGCATACCTCGCATCCGGGTTGTCCTCGCCGTGCCGGCGATGCGAATGAAATCGGCTCTGGTGGGCGCGCACGTGAGGTCGCACGTGGTGCCCTGCAGTTCTTCATGCACGTGGGCAGCGTTGAAGCAGCGACGCCGCCGTCCTCAGCTTCTCACGATGCTCAGCAGATTCGCCCGTGCAGCACACGTCTGCGCACCGCCCAAAGCAGTTTCCTCCTTCATCCCTCCCTCTTGGTTTTCTTCCACCAGTGCATCATCCTATGGTAATTCATTCATTCCATTCATTCATTTATCGTTTCGTTCGTTCATCATTTTTCACATTCAATATTCAGTCATTTGTTCATTCGTTTTCATTCATTCATTCATTCATTCATTCATTCATTCATTCATTCACTTACCTACTCACTCATCATTCATTCTGTCGTTCATTCATTGTGTTGTGCACGCATCTTGATCCTTGCTTCATTCATGCCTCCATCTATCCTTACATTCGACCATCTGCCGTCCATTGACCATCCATCCGTTCATCCATTATTCATTGAGGCAGCTCAACGCACACCAACGATGTCTCTGCAGTGCCGTTTGTCCAGGTTCGAAGTACCAGTCCCGACGATGGCTATATTTTCGAACACTAGCTTCTTGGCTAGTCCGAATTCAGTTGCTGTCTGGAGAGAATTCTAGCGGCCGTCTCTTGGGCTTTTTCTTTTGGATCGGTAGTCACACCAAGCGCGAATGCCGGAGCAGTACCCTAAGCATACGGACCGCGCGAGATCTTCCTTCCCTCTTACTTGTTCTCTCCTACCCCTTTACTACAAACACTTATACACTAACTGCAGTAACACTAACCACATGCCAGAGACCGGTCGAGGCTTCACTTGTCCCGCTGGCGCGTGCCCCACTGATGGGAGATAACAATGGTTTGAAGGCATACGCTAAGTCAGCCCCGGATTTCATCATCCACCTCGCCGGCGGGAAGATCACAGCTAACGTTCGAGGAAAAACATGCACTGCACTTAGAAACTAATTAGTAGTTGACGCGCCCGGAATTACTAACAATTAATCAATCTCTGAGCAGGACACGTTTTCGCACGCACCGCTTCTCTCATTCCCCCTTCACTTATTTCCCTCCGACCTCATTGTCAATTTCGGTCCCTCTGCAACATGCCTTGGAGTGATATTTATTAATGTAATCGTAACATTGAATTCTGTGTGACATGAAACATGCCAGAAAAGGACGATTGACTGATGATCGATTTTTTCATGTTACCAGGCGCGTCAAACAGCTCCGCTCATGCGGTAAGAGTAGTGCATGTTTTCATAACGGGATGGCGGTATTCTTCACCCACTGGATAGTGAGGTCGGGGCCGATCTACAAGTCTCGTTGCAGGGGCTTCGCAGCCAACTCTCACTAGCAGGGCATCGCCCCAGCCATGGCAAGTTCTAAGGTCTCCCGGCACGTGTCGTAGTTGTGCATGTGAGTGTAGTATATATGGGGGAAGATAGGACAAGAAAGAGGAATGATGTATAGCGCGCCATTCGTGGCCCGTTTAGTACGGTACTGCTCCTGCATTCGCCTAGTGTTGATCGGAGAAACCACAGCAAGCAACCGATCAGAGCAGTCGGCCGCTAGATTCCTCCTCCAGACAGCACCTGAATTCGGCCTAGCTGTTTTGCTAGTGTCGAAAATCCTGTCACCGTCAGGACTGGAACCCTAAGACCTTTTCGGCTAGAATCAATCCAATGACGAGGACAATAGAGCAGACTCACCGCTGCCCACGAGGTGCGGGCATAGATCTTGCATGATGTCGTGCTGGTCGTCCAGGGGCTTCGCAGTGCCGTTGTAGATGCAATTGTACGTCTTATGAGTCTGTACGGGGTCGCGGTAGCACTCGTCATACCAGACGCAGTGCGCGTCGTCGCTGCCACTGCCATCGTCGCCTCCGCCGTCGCCGTCACCGTCGCCGTCTCCATCACCATCGTCCTGAGCCCGCACCACCTGCACCAAACATGTTACGTTACACATCATTTCAAGATCAGTTTGAATCCCTTCCCTAAACATTTGCTCAAGTAATAATTTTAAGCCGTGATTTTTACTTTTCGTCTTTTTTCAATAGGATAGGACGGAAATGTATTGGAATTACTTCAACTATACTATCTCAAATTTTAGGATCCCTGTTTGGGGTTCTTTTGAACTGTTACTCTGAACACATACCCACAATGAAGAACTATTGGCTCTATTTCAAAGACGGTTACGAGAAGTGCAGATCGAG